CGACTAGGAAGGAGACTTATGGCGACGGAATAATTTCTAAATTCAAATCCCAAACTTTGAGTGGCGTTTGTTAATATTCTCAGGATCTGTTATTTTAATATAAAATAGGCTCATCAATTTAGTAAGGCAAAAGATTTAAGCGTCAATAACTAGAACAACTCAAACTTCTTTTGTTAACACGTTCTGGCATTCAGTATGACTTAGACCATGATACTAAAAATGTTTATTTTCTACATGATATGATCTAAAGAAATACATAGGGGTTTTCTGAAATATTGATTTTTGTGAAAATGGTGAGCATTTGAAAAAAGCTTGGAAGCAATCCAGTCATTCAGCCATTTTTTGATTCCTTCGTACAAGGTGAAGTGTTGTACCGTAAGCGCTGACTTCATCGACCGGAATAAATGGTAATCGGAGGGAGTGATGTCTGGGGAATATGGCGGGTGGGGTAGGATTTCCCAGTTCACCCTTCTAAGCACTTCTTGACTGGTTAAGCAACATGCGGTCTGGCGTTGCCGTGTTGCAAAATCAACTTGTCAGGGCAATTCTCCCATTCCGGTCTCTTCTCGTGCAGAGCTCGCTTCAAACGGATCAGTCGATAACGACGCCCCAGATGGTTTCCGACGGTTTCGGTAACTCATAATATACGACATCCCTCTGATCTCACTAGATACAGAGCGTGACCTTATTGACGTGGATGTTTCTCTTTGGCGTCGACGGACCTGATTCCCCGGGACGCACCCATGCTGCTTTTCGCTTCAGATTGTCAAAATAAGTCCATTTTTCATCTCCAGTCACGATTCGATGGAGAATACCCTTTCGTTGTTGTCGTTCAACCAGAAGTTTACAAATGGTTTTCCGGCGTTCAGTCCCGTTTCTTCAGTATGTGGGGTACTTCAATTTCCTTACTTGTGCACCCGTCCCATGGAGAATTGAAATTTCGTTTCAAATTTCGCGCGCTCCGTGTTGTTTTGATAATCAGAGAGAGCGAGGGCGCTCCAGACGATTTTGTGTTTGTCAACTAACATCCCCGGATCTGTGAGCCCACCAAAGGAATCTCGCAGGCCTTCCTAAGTGCAACCATTTCGGCAGAAATAAGATGGAAAAATTGAGAATCAGAAGGTCGACTTTCGTCAAATGATGCTTTATTATTTTCAGCGTGACTTCACAGTTTTGCATACACTGAATGAGATGTCATCTGTAGATATAGAGATTCCTGCGTCACTCACCAATTCGAAACAATACAGACAATTTATTCGGAAATAGTATCGAAAGTTCGCAGCTGGCGATTTCAACGTGAATGACCAAGCTCGCTCTAAACGGCCTCAGGAAGTTGATGAAACGCTTCTTAAGGACTTCGTGCGCGAAAATCTGCGAGTGTCTGTTAAAAAACTCGCCGACACTGCACAAGTCCGTCTCCACTGTACATAATCGGAAGTGTCCTGAACATCAACAGGCGTGGATTTGTCTTTCATGGTAACGCTATTTTGATCTATTTTTCTCTTTGAACAATTTTCTTCGGGGCCAAAAAATTCGAATCTTTGGAAGCCTTCAAAATTCACTTCGATTAATTCTTCGCCAGTAAGAAACTTTTGTTTTGGAGCAAGGGCATCATGCAATTACCCGAGAGATAGGCCAACGCCATTGAACAAAACTGTACATATTTGCTTCAATAAAGTTACTTTTTGATTAAAATATTACGTTCTGAACTTGCATGAAAGATTTAAAACGAACTTTCCGAACAACCTAATATATTGTATATAAAGTATGTACGCGTTAAACAAACTTCTCTACATTTGTTACTCACTTTTCAACATATAAATGCAATTAATTTTATTTTAAAGACATGTCAAGGATACAAAGCCTCAAAAACACTTCATGTGTCTATGCCACCAGTCTATAATAAATCGCGATTTTCATAACTTTCCTTGGACCTGGTGGATAAATAATTGTTATTTCCTGTCTCTAGAAAACTCCAGAAATAGTTTACAATAATTAAGAAAAGTTTATGAAGTGGGTCATTCCAAAAATGATTTTTTTTTAACATCCTTCTTTGTCTGATAATGAAAGAGACAGAATTTTTTATTGTAAAAATCAAATTTGGCTAAGAATCAGGAATTTTTTTTCCTTCAACCAAAATGCGTTTGATTTGTTCATTGCCAGTCAAATTTTACTAAATTACTTTTTCCGTGTACGTGTTAATTTCGTTGATGACAAACGAACGACTATTCTTAATATATTTGAAAAGAATTATTTTAAAATCACTTGGAGATTCTTAGAAAGCGTCGGGCTTCGAAGAAAATAGGTGCGCCTCTGATTCCGAATGTTAACGTTTCGCTTTGTACTTTCCTGTGTCTTCCTCGCGCACAATCGTGCGTTTGCGCGGTGTGAGCTTCGACGCTCCCTATAGAACGAAGAGAACACACGGTTGTAGCGTGAATCATGTATAAAATACTTAACCAAGCTGCGTGGGATATAAACCAGTGTAAATGTATGAGTAAGTACGCGCTATGTATAGTAGTCGATGACTAATATCATGAATTATAGCACGTACGTCAGGGAGGGAACCGAACGAAAGTGTTTCACGCTAATGAAAATTAAACAAAATTGTGAAAAAACATCCGCAAATACAGGTATCCCGAAAATATCGAATATTTTTTCAACTATAGCTTTTTCTGCTTTCTCCACTTTTTCCGTTACAAATAAGGAGAACGATGACTCTCAATATTTCTTTAGAAAAAAGTGAGAATCATTTGTCTTCTTCAAACCTCACTATGTAATAAACTTTCACATTCTGTAAAAGTGAAATTCACTTTAGCTAAACTGAAGAATATATTTTTATTATTTATATTTTTCCTCTCCCGAAGCTTAACCAGAAACGTCTCATTTCTAATCGTTAAATAAGTCGAAAATGAAAAAAGATGACTCAATAAATTTTCATCGCGAAAAAGTTTTTAAATAGAGGAGAATTTTTAATGGAGGAAACATTCGGCAATTCTAGTACAGTATACTTGAAAAAATGTTTAATCTTAATTCTAGATTTTAATTTAAGATCTAGATCTTGATCTTAGATATTTAAATATGTAAGATCTAAATATTTATAATTACGTGAAATAATAGTTAATAAATATTATTTCGGATATTACATTGAATATGAAAAGATATCGGATATTATCTCGAATGATTATTTTATCTCATAAAAATCTTAAATACTGTGGATTCGAATAAAGCGGACGTCTGGATGAACGATCTGGCAAAGTACATAATTTACCGTGCGTGAAAAAAAATTGATATTTTTCTTCGAAAACTCGTACGCGTGACGCATCGCACTTTTCATATGGTAACACGTAACGAACGTACAGGGCAATCGGATGATGTCTCCTGCGGATCGATATAATACACAGCGGAATTTTAGCCTATGACATAAACCCTACGGAATGACACGGCGATTGATCGTTGTAAATTAAGAGTAATATTACGCGAGGCGAAGTAAAAAACATATATATCCTTTAAACCCGACGTCTCCGCTGCGCATCGCTCGTTGCACACAGAAAGGATCAACGTCTTTAGTTTTCATTTCCCGTTCTTCTCCAAGTTTCCACCATCGGTATTACCATCACTTCGGTGCTATACTCAGCAATGTCGACGGAGAAAAAACCGCACAAATACTAAGGTAGATAACGCTATTTCGGTTCCGTCGCGGGGGGAATGTTTTCGCGACTGTCGCGGTAACGTCGAGTATCGATTCGCGATTATTGTTAATCTCTGCGTAGTGCGACTGAATACGCAAACATCGCGGCACCGTAGCCGGCGATTTTGCGCTGCCCGCGAAATACATTATTCTTCAATAGTTAAGTAGAGCGTGACATTATATATAGGAAGAAAGAAGAAATTACGTAGATTATATACCATGAGCTGCGGATGTCTATTTTTAGGGAGATCGCGCATACGATGTACGAAAGATAACTGAACAAATATCACGCCAATGGCACGCTGTAGTCAGGCGGAAGCGCCTGCGAGCGAGCACGCCAAAGTTCATGCATCGTCGCTAAATTAATTAGCATTTTCTTCTCCAAGTGGGGACTTTCAGGCTTTCGCGTTAGGCATCGCGTGTTAATCAATTGTGTCGAATCCTGCCTGAATGTTACACGGTATATATGGTATATACGGCGTCATTATCTTCTCGTCTCGTCGGATTTTCAGAATTGCGCGTGGATGTTCCACGATCAATATCACACCATGTACGACTGAATCGATGTTAATACATCATAGATCGTGCGCATATTTTTCAGCAAATCAAAGCCCATTTAAAATTGTTCATCTGCTTTCGAATTTCACTCGGTCTTGGAGAATGTTAAAAAACAAATTTGCGACCCGTAATGTGTTAATTACTCGTAACATCGTCAGTTCATCAAAAAGTTCATCTCATATTCCGTATGCGTCCAACTGAAATACATACGGAGAAAAATAATTTAGGAAGACAGCAAATTTTATGCTGTCATATATAGCAAATATATGAAGATGCAAAATGTTTCTTAAGTATCGTCTAATATTTTAGGAATTGATTTTTTAGGTCATTTTATAATCTATGAAATATAATATCTCAAAAGGTCAACTCGTAAATTATCGAACGGTATTTAAGAAACAATCTGTATATTTATTTATTCGCTACGATAGAACATATAATTTGCTGTCCCTCTGAATTATTTTGCTCTTCGTGCACAATTTCTTCGCGTTTTCAACGTTTTAATTCTCGCAGTAGAGATGGAAATCTTACCGTTCGGTTCAAATACTCCCGAGAAGCAAATGAACACAAAGAAGACAAGGTGACTGACAGCAACAACAATCGCATTAACCACACGAGAATTTTTCGCCATTTTTTCTCAGCTGGGTGATATCCACTCGCTGAGGTCGGGATATCAATCAGATATTAAGGAGATACACGGACGTTCACTCTCGAAGTCTACGAAAATTCCAACAATAAGCATTGAAGCACTCACCGAGTCCTATGTCTCTGAAAATTTCCTTGGGCGCGATTTCGATTTCCTCCTTCTTCTTGTTGTCAACCGGACGAGAGGGACGATGATCGGGTTCCTTGGGCTTTGGAGGCGTTTCTTGTCGCTTCGCGCTCTCGGATTCCGAGTTAACGGAGCGCGGTTGTGGCGGCGCGGACGGCTTGACAGTCTCCTCGAGCAGGAAGTCATGGGACATCTCGTATTTGTCGTGATGCTTGCCAGCTTCCTCCGTCTCTTTCGGCAAAAGTGGCAACGGCTTCGACGGCGGCTCGAGCTCCTTCGGCTGCTTCAAGTCTGCCTTCTCCACCAGGTTCCACGAGTCGTCGTCCATGATATTCTTGACCTTGTCAACAGGCTTGGGCGGCGTGTCATTGCCAAGGAAATCGAGCATCGACGACCTTTCCGGTAAGACTGACGACTTGACGGCGATCTCCTCGTCGAGATCCTTCACGTCGCTCGACGGAGCGGTCTCGTGCCGCTTGCCTTGCTCGGTGAGGGCGATCGCCGCATCGGTGCTGCGTTCCTCAGAGCCGGCTCCGGTGTCGGCCTTGTTATCCACATCGGCGGCTTTCGTGTCCGACGACAGGAGGTCGTCAGCCGTGGACGAAGTCGGTAAGAGCGGTGCCGGCGGCGACTCCGGCAGTATCTCCTCGTTGCCGGAGCGCTCGTCGTGAGGCTGATAGGCCCGTTCGCTCTCGACGAACGCCATCGTAGCCAGTTTAGGATCGACCGGGTCTAATGGTCGCTGGAACGGGTCCGACGACTGCGCCATAGCCTCGCACTTCTCAAAGTCTGCGGAAGGCGGCGGTGTCGCAGGCACGGGTTTCGCGTCGACGTCGCCGTCGACGAGGAGCGCACTCGGTAGCACGTTGTCCGATGCCTGGAAGGAGTCGCCGATATGCAGCAGGTCGTCGACACGTGGCGGGTCGATCAGTCGTGGCGGCGGTTGTTGCTGCTCCGGACGATCGTCCGGTGAGTCGTGGCTGAGATGCTCGAAGTCGTCGACGGAGTCGTGATCCCTCTTGAGGAGCACGTCATTAGGCGTGTCCTGCAGCCGCGAATCCATCCTCGGTCGCCACGGGAGGACCGCGAATCGCTCAGTCGTTGGCGGGGATTTACGGCTAACGACGATGACTCACACCGAGCGAGCTGCTGGCTGGCTGACGGCGTTCGATCCTTTTGCACGACGTTGCGCGATATGTTGCGCGAGCTGCTCCCTACTCTCATCAAAGCCGGGTATTACGAAGAGCGCTACTCCCACCTGCTGCCGTTGTTGTCGTTGCTACCGGCGGCTCTTCAGTGAGGCACATCCGACGTCCTTGTTATCCTAACTCACTGGCGGCGACTTCCGCTACTGCTGCTGCTCGTTACCACCGTCGCGTCTTTCGCGAGCTATGGCCTCCTCTCTCTCTCCCGTCGGTTGCCTCCGGGGATGCGCGCCGGGGTCGGCGCGAAATCGCCTCTCACGTGCTAAGTCGTCGTCAACGTCACCGTCGGCCGATCGACGCGAGGAACAAAACTCGGGCTCAAGGACTCGGAGAAGAACGAGACTGGCTAACGGGTGAAAGCTCGGCTCACTCGCGCGGGTTACGGGGCGAAGTCGCACGGTATTCGGTGATATTCGGTGCGCGATCGACGGGTGGGTTCGACCGCGAGCCGCGCTCCCCATCGCGACGGGGCAACCCTCTCCCGTGTGCCGAGCGCAACGCGGACCAATTGCACGCTCGCTGTTATCCCCCACCGCCGACCGGCACGCAGAAAGGAGACGCAACCGTCGGACAAATTCGCGTACCTGGACGCAAATACGTGCTCACATGCTAGAAAATCCACCATTGACACGACCGGTCAATGAATGTAATCACACTTCGTTATTTTTACATTTCACAGAGAATTGACGGATTTACGTACGCATTAAGCTCCACACGAACACACGTGGCTCCGTTTGAATAGGCGTGAAGTTTGTCGGTTCTGATAAGACTTGAAATCCGATATTCGAATCCGAAACTGATAGGATCAGTGAATCTATTCTTTCAAACCCCCCGACTTTTGTATAAAATATTTTTTTTTAATGCGTTGCTCAACAGATATTGGAGGTTGTCATTTAAAACGGAGTACACTGGGATATAATGTGAATATAGTATAGTAGTGAAGTAGCACGTTCGTCTTATTTTTATACAAATATATATATATATTTCAGTAGGATAGAGTGAAGGCGCCTTAACATCACCAGTGGAACCTGATAAAAACAAATATACACTGCATTATGTACATGCCTTATCATTATAATTAGAGTTACTTATATAACTTTCGATCTTATACGTATGTATATACGGCTAAAAATGGTGTAACTCTCGATTTAAGAAACGATAAGACTTATTTGACGCAGTGTGCACATCGGTGTGATTCACGCTTCTTCTTTCACCTTATGTAACCGATTTTGGAAACGGAAGATAACGATTTGAACGAAAACGAAGGCGGATAGAAGAATCGTAGTGAAAATGAAAAGTTTTATACTTGATAAGCTCATTCGGGAAGGCTACGCCGGACAAACATGTTATCTCGTACGTTCGTCTTATTTTTATACAAAGCGTCGTCGTTTTATTGATTGTACCGCACTCTATTCCCGATGCATGGGATATTAAGGCTCCAGAACAGTCACACAGTAGTGACTATTCTCATTTAATGACATCAGAAGACACATGCCAAGATTTTTTGCGTTATACTTTCAAATAGTCACAAAATTAACTTGATACGGAACCTTCTTTTCTAACCTCTTTTCTCATGATTTTGTCAATGTTAATTTTACACCTACTTATTGATTGTTTGAGTAAAGGAAAAGTGTTCGTCTAATTTTACAAGTTCGCTAAATTGATCATAAATGTCATTTTGTGGATATATCTTTTTATTTAAAAGTATAACGTGAAAAATCTTGATATGCGTTTTCTCGCTTCTGACATCATTAAACACGGACAGTCACAACGACTATTCCGGAGCCTTTCCTATTCCGCGCTACATTAAATACAATATACTACGTTTATCGTTATCTTAAACCGTTGATAAATATCGCTCACTTCGAGTTATATAAAACGATTACATCAGCAGATTGATATAACTCTGTACATTCGAAATAATCGGAAACACGGTATCTCAGCAATTTGCCGTATTATATAATTATTTTTTTACATTTATTTTATGTGTTGTGTATTATATTATATATTAATATATATCAATATATTATGTTAATATATATAAAATATGTTATATTATACATGTATATACATTTAGTATGTAATTATTAGATTATTAATTATTTCTTTTTTATGTATAGTACTAAAGAGCGCGTGTGTGTATATGTATACACACACATACATACACTTCGTACTTTTTTGAGTAAGAGAAGCAACAGTAAATGTCAGTACGCGGCACCGCAGTAGCTATTTATATCCTGACATTGCGTTGAAACAGAAGCTGTAATAGGTTTGTTTTGTTTATGTTCTTCGCTCTCTTCTACATTTTTCCTAAAATAGTTTTTTTTTCCTCCTCCTCCTCCTAGACCGATCGTCAAGCAGACACATTCCTTTTATTCCGAGAGCCATAGAATCAAGTACCGTTACAAGAAAGATCCGCCTGATCATCACGCGCGTTAAAATGGCTGAAAATTATTGCATTTTCGGAGTCGGCCATTTTCATTCGCGACAACGACGACGATTGTCCCGATACTTCGAAATCCACACGATCGATAGCCTTATCGCGTAGCCGGAGTAGGAAATAGGATGAAATCCCGCGGCCTATCGCAAACGCAGGAAAAAAGACGACACGGTGAATTCGCGCGCGAGTGCTCGAGGTGGGACAATGGGAGAGGAGACGGTTAAATGTCTGACCTGTTTTCAGCAGGAGAATCCGAATCGAGGAGGAGAAGCAGAAGGGAGGAGGAAGGAGGCTGCGCGACGCAGCGCGACACAGATCAGCGCGCGGCGCGTTGCGGCGCTCGACGAGGAGGTGGTGGCGGAGAGGATCTTGCACGGCCGCCGCATCGGAGTCGCAGGGCGAGCGCGTAGGAAAAGAGCGTCGGGAGACGACCTCAGGCGCAGGCGTCGGTCGGCAACGCGCTAAATTGTGACACAACGTATATACGACGGTGGTGCAGGTAGTGCGAGCGGTATCCCGCGCGGCGGCGGCGGCACTGGTGGGGTGGGGTGGTAGTGTGTTACGAGAAACGTGGGCACGTCGTGTGCTTCGTTCTCTCTCTCCGTCCGTCCGTCTCGTATGTGGTTTCGCGCGATCGAGTCGAGTGTGGTCGTCCGGTACAACGACGAGGAGGAGTCATTCTCGGTCGGCGGATCGTCGTTCGTCACAGTGCCGGATAGTGTTGTGTGTGATAATCGGCTTTATCAGGCTCGATGAACGATGGCGACCGCGACCACGAGGCTACGCGCTACGGAGACGCGCGGCGAGGAAGCGCCAATTATCGAAAAGAAGGATCCGACAACAACGTTGTCATCGCGAAACGGTTTAACCTCATCTCGGGACGCCGAGGACGCTGGTAGGATGAACGGTTACACGCTGAGTAACACTCACACGCATGTAAGTAACGTATATGCGCGCAACGAGCCGGCGAACTCGCGTCGTTACTCGCGCGCGCGCGAGCCTCGTTTCGATTACGGACGTGCAGCGCGCAGTCCGCAATCCCTCCTCTGGTCTGTTCCTTTTAGCCGAAGTGGCTGCACTGGTTCAAGAAATTGATGTGCACATTAGAGAGCGTATGAAACATACGTACGAGATTCTCACGTGCTTCAAATACGAGACTCTCACGTGCGTAAATTTATGGAATTTTTGAAACTTCTAGTGCAGCCAGTTCAGCTAAAAAGAACAGACCACCTTGTTTCCTCATTCGCGTCTCTTCCTAGTTATGCGTCGCGTCTTGCCGTTCGTTTATTCGCTCGCTTGTAACGTAGCTTCTTCATTCACTCGTGAGTGTGACATGGTGACACGGACTGTTACATTACAATATCCGCGTGTACGAATTAGGAGCGTGCGAGATTATTCTTCACTCTGTCTACATCCCGCAGCTCCCTATATTCATTTAGAAAATCGTCACGTCTCGAGAATGGGCATGCCAAACATATCTTTGATTTTGTAAAAAAATGTTTTAATTAATAAATTAAAGTATACTCATCAAGAGCAAGTATCGGCTGTGTTCTAAAATTCACTGCCAGCACTGAAAATCTATGGTTTATGTTACATATACTATACATTTTCACCACTGGCACAGGTAAATATTGAAACGCAATCATCAATGCGTGTTTACATGTTGAAGACGCTGGTCCCTAAAGGACCAACTATCCTTGGAGTATGCAGAGAATGCAATGTGCTTTAAACAAAACGAACGGTGCGCTTACAATTAATATTTCTCTGCGCGCGTATTAACCCTTCGCACTCGAGGGCTCCGGAGCGGAGCCACTTAAAATTTGTCTTCAAACTCGAGGGTTCCGCTATGGAGACAATGCAAATAATTTTCGGTTCATAACATAAGGACAAAGACAAATCATAAAAACTATTGTGTATAGGATATTCCGCTCTTGCTAATTTGCATTTGAGTTTGAAGAGTTTGAAGACAAATTTTAAATGGCTCCGCTCCGGAGCCCTCGAGTGCAAAGAGTTAATATTCTTCTCTTAATACATGATCTTCGAGGTTTCAACTCGTATTAATCCGCGTTCTCAAAGCAGTACAGTAAAATTCTCCGAACAGCGGATATTTCATTCGTTCACGGAAATCGCTATCAGCAACAGCGACGATAAATCGATGATAAGCTCGATTGCTGTTACCGTCGAACTTATAACAATTTATCGGAATATTAAGATGGATATTATAATCCTACAGTTCTTAAATTCCTTAAATTCCTAAAATTCTAATATGATGACAACAAAAAAGATAATTAATATTTCCTTGTCTTGTATAGCGATTTATTTGATACGGGTATTTTGCTTCTCATGTTATACTGATATGACGTATTTTAAGCCGCTTTGAATGTTTTGTGATTTAAGATTAAAAACGCGCGCACGTCATCGCGCGCCATTTTTAATTGCTATTACACACACACACACACACACTCTCTCTCTCTCTCTCTCTCTCTCACATACAAATAAACTATTAGGTCTGTGCATAAGTTCCTAAAGTCATATTTAAATACATTGAAATTCTAGATGCTTAATTTTTTCAACTAATTTATGTTTTATGTTAATATTGTTAATTAATCTGCATTCGAATTTACATATGACAATATATATTTGTTTACTTAAACATATTTTTAATTTAATTGAAAATAGAGGTCGAAAAGGTATATATCTAGCATCTATATGTTGCATTTTTTTCATCGCGGATAAAGTGGCGTTGAAACAAGCAGAATTATTTGCGAAACCTATAAGCCCCTGAACGCAAAAAGGAGGAGTTAGATCAGGACAACCTTTTATTTTGACATCAAAGCGCAAGATTCATGGGCATAAGATTCTCTTCTGTATTTGGTAAGACCAGAAGGGCCTGCTCTATTATGAGCTGCTCAAAACTGGTGAAATGATTACTGCACAGCGCTACAATTGCCAATTATACCGGATGAACGAAGAAATTCAAAAAAAAAGAATGTGGACAAGGAAAAGAAATCGAAAAGTCATCTTATTCTACGATAATGCTTGGCTATGTTTTGCTTACTAGAATTTGAATAGGACGTTTACCACATCCGGCGTATAGCCCAGATTTTTCTTTCTAATTTTGATGTATTTCAGTCAATGCCGAACCATCTCTCTGGTATGCGATTTAGAAATAAAGTTGAAGTGCGAAAATAGGTCGATGAATTTATTGTATCGAAATGTTATTTATCAGTCGAAGAATCCTGTTATTTATCAGTCGAAGAATCCATTTGTTACCTGAAAAATAGTCTAAAATTGTAGCAAGCGAAAAAAAATACTTTGATTAAATATGCATGTGTTGTTTAATATACATAAATAAAATCGCTAAGAAAACCCCAGAAACTTATACATAAACCTAATATAATAATAAAGTAAAAATATTTAAATATATACAAAATATATATAATTATATATATAACTATATAAGGGTGATTCATTTTAATCTTAAAGCAAATATTTCAAAAAGTATGAAAAATATGGGAAAATGTTCCAGTTAAAAGTTGTAAGATTTGGAACAGAACGTAAAATGGTGACCTTAACTTCGTTGTATAATCAATTCAAGATCATTTCAAGGTCAACTTCATTTTTTTTTTAATAGAACCATATAGTTTTTCTTAATAAAAACCGATTTCTTCGTTCATTATATTGGGTCTATGCTTAATTCCGCAGCGAAAATCGAGTAAATTTCAAACGCAAAATATTTAGCAACAAAAGCGATTTTAATCAACTAAATATGTTCCATTCTGTTCAATGACTCTCTGCCATCTTTTCACGAGCTTCATTATCCCTCTTTCATAGAAGTCCTGAGATTTTTGGGCAAAGAATTCACCCAAGTGGTTTTTAAGGATGTTCAGGGAACTAAAGGTTTTGTTATTCAAATTGTTCTGTAACGCCCGGCACAAGTGATAGTCTGAAGGTACAAGGTCCGGGCTATACGGTGGCTGCACCAAAACATCCCACCCAAGCCGCAATAACTTTTGCCGGGTCATCGTGTGGTCTAGCATTGTCCTAGTAGAACGCCCTTTCTGTTCGCCAATTCGCCGGGCCGTTTCTGATCGACTGCTCACTTTAATTCGGCCAATTGTGATGTTTGTCCTGCCACGCTTGAATTCATTTACCCAAAGTCGAACAGTTTCATAGGAAGAACATGAGTCACCCAATGTAGAGGAAATCCTTTCATGAATTTCCTCTGCTGTTTTCTCTTCCAGAAGGAAGAATTGAATCACACCACGAATTCCAATTTTATCCATTTTTCACTGTCACTCCAAACACTTCTGTCTAAACAACTGTCAAACAACAAATTACTATCAGAATGACTTGTGACCGTAGAATATTCACCCATAGGAAGGATACTTTATGATCACATATACAGATGTTACTGTCGTCCTCCATTAGTATACGAACCAAGTTACTTATCAAACCTTCGTACTAATGCTACTCACTTTTATCAATGTATTGCGTTGGGTGATAAACGATGTAGAAATGTATGTAAATATATTATTACGTGTATTTACACTCACCCATAGTCTACATCGTAATACACAAGATCCCTGAACTCAGTGCCAAAACTAATACAGCGGCTTTAGACATGAAAACAAATCGAAAATATCTGGTAAACATATGTCCTGATCTGAACAATTTCGGAGTTAGGGAGTATTGAAATTGCTTTCATAAGAAAATATGAATTGAAGTAAATGTTGTTTAATGTTCTTTATTTTGTTTAAAACTTTACAAAAGGTGGTCAAAAATTTCTTCGTTGACTTCGGCATACTTTCTAGCACGAATTAATACATTTTTCGAACTTTTTGAAAAATGTTTGGAGTTTGGATAACATCGGTAGCATTAACTGTCAGTTGCCATAGTTGTTCTGAATCGGATGGATCTCATTCTGGTAGACTAGATCTTTCATGTGTTTCTAAAGGAAAAAATCCAGTGGTGTAAGGTCGGGACTAGCTGACCATTTAATAGGAACGTCCTGATCAATCTAGTTAGGATAGCGATCATGAAGAAACGTGGAGGGATACCAAATTGGGTCATAATAAGCAATAGATAAATTTATTACGGTTTTTACCGCGGTTCGACAGAAATAAAATAACAAAATAGCAAAAAATAGAATAGCAAAATCGCAATCGAATGCAATTTTCGATTTATTTTGCGTTATTCTTATATAACATACAACAATTGATGTTCTCGCGGACCATCATAAGCAGTAGGCAAATTTATTGCAATTTTCTCGCAGTTCAACAGAGACAAAATTGCAAAAATTATGGAATAACGAAATCGCGAACAAATTTAATTTTTAATGTTATTTCATATTATTTTTATACAATATATGTGAATTGATATTTCCGCGAACTATGGCATATAGCAAGCAAATTTATGTATTACAGTTTCTTCACAACCCAACAGAGACGAAATTGCAAAAGAAGTATGGAATGGCAAAACCACGATCAAAGGAATCCGCTGAAAAAGTTTCGTTCATCACAGCAGCCTTGACACACCTTGGTTTTTACATCCTTATGTTCCTGGGATTTATTAATCAGTTATTCTTTGTTCCGAAAGTTGCGCGTGAGAAGGACAGAGAGGTACGGCGATAATAATTTACAATCGATTAAACGTTATAGCATACTCGCAACTGACAACGGACATTCAGCAACGCGTAAATTTAAACAACTCTGAAACTTTACGGAATTATACAGCAGACAAGCCTAATAACTAAAGAATTTTTCATTGGTGCCCGGAATCGGTAAAAACAGTCCCTTGAAGGAAAATCAGTATTTAAATTTATAAGCAAATATTATCTAAACTATTAGAAATATAAAAAAATATTTTAGATGAAAGTTTTATAGGTTCGATATTATTTTATGATGACATTCTGAGATTTTTCGAAAATTTTATATTTTTCGAAATACCCCCACCGCTCACACTTTTTTTATAATCCCTGAGATTTATTTTACGAAATTAAAGATTATTTTATATTGAATTCAACCATACATAATAGAGTTAGATTTAAAAAACTTATTTTAAAAAATAAATTGAAAATATATATACAGGGTGTCCCATTTTAAATGCCCCAGACAAAAATCTCGAAAAATATAGAAGATACGCAAAAATGTTTCAGACGAAAGTTGCATGGTTTGAGAAAGGCCACATGATGAAAATATCAACTTGATCTTTAATAACCTTCTCAAGACCAGGTCAATGTGATCAATGTTTTTTTTAATGGAACTTCCCATTTTTTATTACACATTCTTGTAGCTTTTGTCGAGACGTTTTCAAAATACCTACTTTTGTCTTTTGCTCAAGTCATTCCCAAAATATGAAGCTTCAAAATTGACATACCGCTGGCACTTTTTACGTCACTAGATATTAGACTCTTGAATACTCTTGCAAATATAGGAAAATTTTATATAAAAATGATACTAATAAATTACATACAAATTATTTAGAAATTACACATATTAAGGGTAATAATAAATCAGACAAGCTCTGCGTAATAGTTTAGCACTTTATTATATGCCGATTAATGTATTTATTTTCATAAGTTGTCAGGTATTTATATGTTAGTGCAACTATTTATTTTAATGCTGTAATTAGCTATATTCTATCTAATCGACAACTTATGGGGACAAGAGACATGTTTTTCTATTACTATTTCTATTGTAATATTATATACATAAAATATATAATTATTAAAAGTTATTTTTCCGATTATGATCTTATAAATAAATCTGTCCATATCCCTATCTATTACAAGAAGTTATGAAGAAGAAAGAAGGAGAAAAAAAGAAACACCATCGTTAAATAGTGAAGGTATAAGACTGATACGGATATAGCATGTACATATATGTGTGTGTGTGTGTGTGTATGTATTTATATGTTTTCAATTTATTTTTTAAAAATAAGTTTTTGAAATATTAGTTTATTATATAAAGTTGATTCGGTATAAAGTAATCTTTAATTTCACTGCAAAATAAATCTCAGGTATTAAAAAAGTGTGTGGTGAGATATTTCGAAAAATATAAAATTTTCGAAAAATTTTAGTATGTCATCATAAAATAATATCGAAACTATGAAACTTTTGTTTAAAATATTTTTTTATATTTCTAATAATTTAGATAATATTCGCTTATAAATCTAAGTACCGGTTTTCCTTCAAGGGGTTGTTTTTACTCCTAAAACTAATTTTGAGCACTCACTAAAAATTGTTTAGTTATTAGGTTTGCCTGCTCTATAATTCCACACAGTTTCAAATTTTTTTGAATTTACATGTTGCCGAATGTTCCTTGTGAGCCAAGTGTAACATTTGAGTATATTCCTATATTAAATGTGTATGTATGTGTACATTTTTTAGGGATACGCTCCGCTCTACGAAGATTTCGAGAAGTTTTATTTTAGATACGTTTATAGGAGAGTTAGAGATTGCTGGAACAGGCCAATATGCTCCGTTCCCGGGGCAATGGTTACATTGAAGGATCGCGTCAGTCACGATTACGGATGGACGTTTCAGTAAGTTCAATCGCATACAATAACAATGCCCCGCATGTCGGTAGAATTCAAGTTTCAAATTTTTATTTCTGACAGATTTACTGGAACTGAAACGGAATGTATAAACTTGGGCTCTTACAATTATTTAGGATTCGCTACGAAGACTGGTAAGACTGTCATCGAGAGCATCGGAGCGCTCAGGAAACTCGGTTGTGCCACTTACAGTACACGTCTCGAATTAGGTATATATCTCGAGAAGCCCTTTGGCCTGTTCCTTTTATATGCACTGTAACGTTGTTTCTTTTCCCTTCACTTCCCCTTCACTCTAATGTTTTATTCTTTCCCCTTCATGTTCGATTATGTATTATTTCACTCTAAGAAAGGAAGCGCAGTTTAGTTCAGTTAAGAAGGCAAAACTTATTATTCAAACGTGAGTCATTAGCAAACCATTAATGCAAAACGGAAATCTAACCAATGCATTATATTACCGTGGCAGTGTACATGATATGAAAAATTTTTGCTTGGAAAGCAATTTGTGTCTGTTTTATACAGAATGTTCTTGCGAGGAAATTGACAAGCTTCTGAAATATATTCTAGAAGTAATTATAAATAAAAAAGTTTAGTTGCATTATAAGTCAAATCGACTCAGTTATCGAGGTATAGACAGTTTTATTAATATTGTAACAAATGAAAAACATCATATATACAGGGTGTACGATATGTTTCATACATCCGCTCATGTGTAGATAGAAGGAATTCAATTGATAGAAAAGGTAGATACCATTATAAATAAAATTCGTAATAGTTAACGAGGAAATAATTATTCTGACTGAGCTAATGAGCACACAAGAAAGCAGTAAACCGAACATATAGAAAAAAAACATCTTTTACTGGCGCGCGATTGTGACACTTGCGAATTATGGCTCGCGTTCCTCCGCGGAATCCGTGTTTCTTCGCGTCGCTGTTTCTCGTAGCTTTAGGCGGACTACTAAAGTCACTTTAACACTGACAATTACCTTGACATTTGAAAAATATTTACAACTGTCATACGGAAACTCACCTTGCATCACTTTTTACACACACACACATACACGCGCGCGCGCGCGCACATACACACTGGGTTAGGGGAAAAGTCTTTTTACAAATTAGAGCTTAATTGAAATACATTTTTTAAGTTGTTTACAAACCTTTTATTAACCCTTAAATGCATGAATTTTTTTTTATTACTGAATTATTTTTTTTTTTTAGGTTCATAGATAGTCCCAGAAAATGAGAAAAATATTTAAAAAAATCTAAGGCATATGTTGAGCATTGCCTTTGTGTCTTTTGGATTGTATATTTCGTTCTAAGGAAGAATTTGGTTTTCCACGTTTTCCACGTTTTAGGTGTGCCTTTGATCTCGACAAAGAGGAAAAATAAATATGTTGCAAATTTGCAACACTATTCATTTAAGGGTTAAACCAAATATGTGCCGTTTTGATCGATGATCTTTTGCCATTTTTTGGGTAGAGCCATTATTCCATCGGTGTAGAACTTCTGAAATTTCTTGGCAAAAAACCGAGATAAGTGATTTTCGCAGGCTTTATTTTAAGTCAAGTTTACTCCATTAAGAGAGTTCTACAAAGACCGAAACAAATGGTAATTTGACGGTGCAAGGTCGGGACTATATATGGTGGATGCATCTTCATAGTTAAGCTTTCTCAATTTTTGCCGAGTCGTGAAAGATGTGTGTGGTCTGGCATAGTCATGATGGAAGACAACGTCTGTCCTTCTGTTGATCAATTCCTGCTTCTTTTCCTAAATCGATCGCTTCAATCGCATTAGTTGACAGTACAGATCAGAATCGTTTTGCTTGGCGACATAGTGGACGATTCCCTTCCAATCCCACCAGGCACAGCATCACCTTCTTTGGCGCCAATCCGGGCTTTGCGATCGTTTGTGATGCCTCACTTCACTTCGACCACGATCTTTTTCGAACATTTTTGTCGTATGTTATCCACTTTTCATCGCCCGTTATCAATCTTTTCAGAAATGGGTAAATTTCGTTTCGTTTCAGCAGCGATTCGGAAATGGAAATTCGGCCCATTAAACTTTTTAGCATCAAATTATGTAGCACCCAAACATCGAGTTTCTTTATGTATCCAGCCTTAAGCAAATGCCTCAAAACGACTTTATGATCGATATTTAGCTCCTTAGCTATGTCATAGCTGCTCACATGACGATTTTCTTCAATTTTCTGGAAAATTTCATCGACATTTTCTATTAGGTGGACATAGAACGTTGTACATCTTTGACATCAAAGTTTTCATTTCGAAATCGGCGAAACCAATGTGCTACTGTTTGTCTAGTTAAAACATCCTCTCCATAAACATGACAAATTTTTTCTTTGTCTTGTGCAGTATTTTTCCCTTTTTTATAATAAAAGTAAAATGTGTCGAAAATGTTCCAGATTTTCACTCATTTTCAAATTTGATTGAATACATCAATATTGTTCAAATCTAGGATGAATTTATTTTAAAATGTTCTATGAAATGGCACCTTTCCAACGATATATAACCTAATATGTCATAGCACCATGTCAAAAATCGACCAGATCTCCATCTATCCGCAATTTGTAAAAAGACTTTTTCCCTAATCTAATATATATATGTATATATGTTTGTTCAAAATTGTTTTACTTTTTTCTTGCAAACATACTACTGCTCATTGTACCATAGATTAATGGTGGACCAGGCAATTAATTTATCTAAGGACCACATGAATTTATAAATTAAGATGTGAACCAAACTCTAATAGTTTACTGGGAGGACCCTCTAAGTACAAACGTAGAATATTAGGTGTAAATGGCCGTGATTTTAAATTAATGAAAAAAGATTTCACTGGTGACTGGTCTGTAAGCCGGTGTAGCATAGCCGAAGTTCGAAGCGGTGCGTAGTAGCGCAGTAGGAGATCTGACTGCTGAGGCATATGAGAATCGTTTGATAAGTCCTTAGAAAAAATGTGAAAATATAATTTTTTTAGAGTAAAATAACTTTTCAACATAATATATATAATCTCACTCAAGCTCAATTTAGTCCAACGATACTCAAGTTTTTTCATGCTTTCCATATAATACGATTTATCTTTCTCTTTAAAATAGCCGTTTACAGAATGAATTATTTCAATATTCGAGCCAAATATCTTTTCACCCAACCATTTTTTCAAATCTGGAAAAAGTCGCTAATTCTAGAAAATGCAACGGATAGTTGACTAAGTGAAACTCATGCAGTTTGATTATTGAAACTCCAGACACGTGAATTGGTTTTTTCCTCTGATGAAAGAGCACTTTTTTCTTTGCCCTATGGGGACATTTCGCCTTGATTACATTGTTAAAATATTCAATAATGACGCATAATATTCTCCTGTGATTTTTTTTCCTTTTTTCAGGATCAATAAACAGTACTTTATGAGCATCGTAAAAGAATAGATGTCATGACCTTTCGAATTGTTGACATTGTTTTTGCTTTCTTCGACGCACGTTTATCAGGAGAAGTTTATTGTTTTGACCGTTCTTTGGTACGTAATGGTGGATCTACTGGTCTGTTCTTTTTTAGCTGTACTGTTGAATTGATACAATAGATTAGAATGAAAAAAATTAATACTTGTCTTATTCTAACTTGCACCAATTCAGTAGTATAGCTAAGAAAACAGACTAGACCATATGTTTCATCAACAATTATAAAATGATCCAAAAAATTATTTGGATAACGCTTGAATCTATCCAAACAACGCTTTGAAATAGTCACTTCGTTTCTAATCAATTTTGAGCAAATGCGGCACCTTGTAGATAGTTTTTTCATATCCAAATTTTCGTATAACATGTTATAAACTCGTTTGATGTCTACGTACAATCTCAACAATCTCCCACATTTTCACTCTGCAATCTTCTAACACGATATCATGGATTTTTTCAATCATTTTTGGATTTGTTACTATTTTCAGACCTGAGCATTGTTCATCACTTATGCTTATACGACTACGTTTGAATTCAGCTATTCAATTATATACTGTTGCGAATTTGCCAAAAATATTATTCATGTCTTCGATCATTTTCGCAAACCTTTAAAAAATATTTAATGACTGTTCGAGTCTCGATTTTAACCATTTAAAAAAAGGCAACTGTAATTCCCTTTAAATAGCTATCACAACAAAACCAATTGATGAATCTGCTTAAAACTTTGTACATGGAGGTTTGAAAGATGATATGAATGTCAACTATTATATCAGTTTGATATTAATAGCATCATTTCATATATTCTCTAAGGACTTATTAAACGACTCTCGTAAGTCCGAATTTTTCGCAGTGTTTTTTTTCTCTTTATTTGTTAATAAAATAGTAATCCTTTAATTACTTTGTGAGCGAAAAGAAGCAATAGAAAAATAAAATAAATGTTTAAATAATAAAAATTTGTACTGATTTTTCGTACAATATAAGGTTAATAGTTTTGTTGGAAAAGAAAGGTATATTAATATTAATTGACAACCAATCTTCTATAAATATATTTATTTACGTCGGGTGTGATTTGCCGTAAGCAATATTTATATTCTTATGTGCAACTTTCGTTTTCGACCTAATCCATATGATTTGTGAGCTCTCACTTATATACAAAAATAAACATTTACTTGAATATTCCATCGATGCAAAACGGTAATCGACGGCTCGATTTTCTATCTGAAAGTTGCGTATAAGGATATAAATATTAGCTCTGTCAAATCACATCCGATGTTAATAAATATATTTATACAAAAAATTAATTGTCAATTAATACTAATATATCTTTCTTTTTTATCAAACTATTAACCTTATGTTGTGCGAAAAATTAATAAAAATTTTGATTATTTAAAAATTTATTTTCTATTTTTTTCTTTCCGCAAAAGAGATGAAGAATCTCACCTATATATTTGACTGAGAAATTCTCCCTCATATGGCTTATTCGCCAGATTTAGCCCCGTCGGATTACCGTATATTTTAGTCGCTTCAGTATCATTTTAAAACTTTTTGACGCATTTTAAAACAGTTAACGAGGTCCGAAAAAGCATCGATTAATCAAGTTAAAACCACCAAGTTTCTTTTGCGAGGACATTCGTTAATTGTCCGAAAGATGGAATAAAGTCATAAAAAATAATGGAGATTATTTCAAATATTAAATGTATACTTGTCTTTTTGTGAATAAACTTTGAATTTCATGAAAAAAAAGCACCGAATTGGTACACTTAAATCGTTAACTGATATAAATGTAAACGTTAATTTTGTTGTTTTGTTTACGATTTTTTTTTCTATTTCTTTTATTATTATTAGTTTTTAAAAGTACTATTTTAGCACAATGTTAGCATAATTTAGCACAATTAAAAAATTTGTAAAAATCGAAAAGTGGGTTGGAACTGGCCAAAAAAGTCGTTTTTTTAATTTCTTAATATATTTCTTAATGTATTTTCTATATTACAAGTTTATAATTCAAGCAGAATATAGCACAGACCTAATATAAATCCGCACAATTGTTAAAATAAGTGAATTCGAAAAATGGGGGGCTAATTTTGTTCAGGTTCATAGATTCACTGTGATTTACGAAAGACTGTATATGTTTAATAACGAAATTCTAGACCTTTTTTCTAAATAACTGTTCTTATCGTGCGCTAGGAACTATGCCGATACACGATGAACTGGAGAAACTGACTGCCAAATTTATGGGAGTAGAAGATGCCATAGTATTCGGAATGGGATTCGCAACGAATGCTCTAACTCTGCCCTCTTTAGTTGGGAAAGGTTGTCTAGTTCTCAGTGATGCAAAGAATCACGCGTCGCTTATTCTCGGACTGCGACTATCATCGGGTGCGGTGGTGCGAGTCTTCAAACACAACAGTATGTATTCGATACAATAATCACTTACAACGCACACATGTCTGACCTTTCAACGACTCTAATTATCTTTTTTGTTATTTGGAAATATAAAGAAATCATGATTTGTGTCATAGGTGTGAAACATTTAGAGGAATGTTTGAAAAGGGCTGTCGTTTTTGGACAGCCGCAGACTGGCGCACCTTGGAAAAAGATAGTTATCATTATCGAGGGCATTTATTCCATGGAGGGTTCGATTCCTTACCTACCCAAGATAGTAGAACTGAAAAAGAAATACAAAGTTCGTAAGCAGTCTCGATTATCAACTTGATTTGAGACTTCTTTGTGATTAATTTGAAATTCTAATCGTCGAATTTAGGCTTACCTTTATTTGGACGAGGCTCACAGTACAGGTTCTATGGGAAAACGCGGGAGAGGAATTTGCGATTATTACAACGTTAATCCGTGTGATGTTGATATACTCATGGGAACGTACACGAAAAGTTTTGGCTCGGCGGGAGGATATATAGCCGGTACTAAGGTAATTTGTTAACTAGTTTAATAATTTATTAATTTAATCATTTGAATAATCCACGTTCTAGTGTCGATGCCATTGAATGCTTCCCGACGTGAGCGTGCGAGCATTCAATCGGAATATTGATTTCAGGCATTGATAGACCATTTGAAGATATATTGTCACGCGCACACATACGGATCAGCAATGGCTCCGCCAGTTGCACAACAAATTATCACGGCGATGCGAATTGTCATGGGAGAAGATGGCACAAATGAAGGTGAAAAACGTATCGAGCAGTTAGCTAGGAATACGAGATATTTTAGACGCAGATTGAATCAAATTGGTGTTATAATTTATGGAAACGAGGATTCGCCCGTTGTGCCTATGCTAGTTTATCTGTTTTCTAAAATCGGGTAAGAACAAGGATATTATTTTCATAATTTAAAGTATCAGTTTTGCTACCTATTCTCTTTAGTATTATTATTCTAAAAATTTGCAACTTGCGTAACAGCACGCTTTAAGAGGGTATTTGATCATTTGGATGTTTGGTTTCGTAGGTGAGTTTAAGAATTTTTTTTTTGAAAAAAAACTACAAAATATAGTTCTGGAGTTTTGCACAAATTTTCATTTACGCTTTAATTATATACAATAATTTCTACATATTATTATTTTCAATATTAATAAAGTTATAAATAACTTTGTGTTGAATACGACAAGTTGATTGCCACTGTTGTCCTAACGTTGGCTTCTGAAACTAAAACGGCAGAAAAATGATTAAACTTAAAATTATAATCTTGTGGATATCATTTCTACCATGACGAAATCAATATCTTTAATATTTCGGTTTTTAAGGTCTCGCAANTATAATTTTATAAAGAATCAATTTTTCTCTTGCTATTACATAAAAAATCAATTTTTATTCTCCATCGTAGTAGAGACAATAACTACAAGTTTATAGTTAAATAATTTTTTCGCCGTTTTTAAAGGATCTACAATATCCAGCGGTGACAATTATGTATACAAAACTTATTCTACAAACTAATGCTATATAAAATTATAACTTTAATGTGGAAGATTATCATGTGTAGAAATTACTACACAGTTAAAAAAATTTAGATATATATCTATAAAAAATTTCAGAGTTGCATCTTATAGTTGTTCCAAAAAAATGTTTCTAAAAATTACCTACAAATCGACATTTCAAGTGAGAATATTCCTTGAGGCTCTCAGTGCAATCATCTTGTTCGATGACGTCAGAAATGAGGAAATAGAATACAGAATATGTTGAAATAAGAGAATATAAAATGATATTTATCCTCTATTGAGCGAATGTTGTGTCCTGAGTACATCTATGGTGATCTCACTTCTATATTTATTTTATAATATAGTCGATGCATTTCTAATTCAAATTAAATCAAACTGGTTATATATCAAATACAATAACAAATATGTTTCATATTCATATTTCTTTTCTTACTATTTGGGCACTTACATCAAATGAAAGTTTTACTTTTAATTTTTTATTTCCTCATGTTTTAATGTATGATAATTTTTTAAATAAAAAAACAATTTCAGCGTCAACGAGTATTTTATTAATAAAATTGTTCAAAATAACTAAAAAATAATTTTGCCCCATTAATATTGTTGCACAATAATTTTTTTCATTGTGAACAATTTTATTAATAAAATAGTCATTGAGTAGAGTGTAGCGCTGAATCTCCTTAATATAATACAAGAAAATGACAGAATATAATTTTAAAAAATATGTACTTAAAAAATAGAATTATAAAGCATAAATATGTGTACATGTGCTTGTACGAATTTATTTGTATAAAATATACAAAATATTTCGTTAATATGTTCAACAGTGCTGTTGTGCGTACCTTGACAGCGCGTAAGATTGCATCTGTTGGTGTCGGGTTCCCAGCAACGCCAATAATGGAAGGCAAAATTAGATTTTGTCTTTCCGCTGCACATACGAAGGAACAGTTAGACTACGTAAGTAGCGTAATTAAAAATCAAACTGTTTATTTCATTTAATAATTTTTACCGTTATTTCCAGGTATTATCGCATATCGAGGATATCGCTGACACGTTAGGATTAAGATATTCAAGGAAACCTCGTACTACTACAAAAATAGAATATTACTCCGATAGTGAAACAGAATGACCTACCTCATAAAGTAATAATTCGTTAGACAATTTATTTAAGGAGTACTGAAGTAGCCAAGGGCTTTAATGTCACGAGATTCAGTTACTCCCACTTAGCTTACTTATATAAAATAATACCATGGTATTATTCGGATATCGCAGCACATCTGTAGGAAATACTGTTGATTATGTTATAAAACGTAGGATATAAATTTAAATGTTAATTCGAAGGATTCCAATAAAAAAATATTATTCAGTTTACATATTCTTGTAATATTAAAAAATGTCACGTCGTTTGTATAATGTATGTTTTTAAAAGAAAGAATTTCAGTTAACAAAAAGCTATGCATGACTTTATAATTAAGATAAATTTTATATAAGTAAGCTAAATAATATGTCACAAACAATTAATTCATATGCGAATATTAATGGAAGTAATTATATAAATGGGGAGTATATATGTGTAGATACTATACAGTTCGTACATCAAACGGGAAAACAATATTATAGTTATTACAACAAGCTCGCGCTTTTCTAATAAGATCACGAAGAAAAATACGAATGTATTAACACTTATAGTGATTCACATATGCCTGTGACAGTTGTGATGATCCGTATGTATTTACTGAAGAAAAGGATTCAGTAAAGTTGATACTATTAAATTATCAACGAAATATATAGATATATAGCGGTAATTATATTATTTACAAATGTTCACAGTATTCGTGCGTAGTGCAACGAAAGTTCCGTTCTGAGATAGCATTAAAATACAGAGCTGAAGATATCGCGGCAACTGTAAACTTGCCGAATTTCCTACACTTTGAATGCCTATTCGCGTCACATCTTGCGGTATGCAAAATCGCTTGAATTAACGTTCGTACAATCTATTTATTTACATATAGTGGAAATAATTGACAAACAAGCATCCGCCAAAACGAAGTTCAAACCTATCATATACCTTTATAGGTATGTGGGCAATTTTTCATATATAATTATTTCCATAATCATACATGTATTTATATATCATTGGAATCTATGAAAAACGTGGTTTCTTTTCAATCATTGAAGACCTCTTTTCCAAAAAAAAAAAAAGAAATAGAATCTTTGGATGCATAAAAGAGAGAATGAGCGCGTCTCAAACGTAAAATAATACGTGATATTGACTTAAACAGTGAAATAATAAAAATCATATTAAAATCGATTCTCGCTTCGCTGAACATCCAACGACATTGCTGTTGGAATAACACATATGCACACACGCATTAAAGGTACTGCCATCATTATGATCTCGTAGGATTTGTGAACGTCACATATGACCAACAGATCGAATGATACATGAGCATAAGAGCTTACACAAGAGATTCAGTCATATTTCAATTCACGATATGTTATTTTTATAAAAAAAGAAAAAAAGTATCATGATATGAAGATGAACAAAGGAATTTTGTCATATGGCGCATTACGACCTATTCAGCACAACGTATCTTAAATTTATTGTTCTTCATTATCATATCAAGTGCGACGAGATAAATAAGACAAGTTTCAGAATTTTCAATCAATTCAGCATCATATGCTGAACTTTCTCATACATGATATATGATTAAAACTGCAGTTAAAACTTTACATTACATACAGTAGTATTAAGTCGGAGTAGTTCGGAGTAGTCGTTGTTTAATGACAGAAGCGAGAAAACGACAAGACTTTTTATGTTATACTTACAAATAAAGATATATGTATAGAATGACATTTGTAATAAATGTAGTACACTTGTAATATTGAACAAATACTTTTACTCGAACAAACAATAAATAGTCGAAAAATTAACTTGATATAGAATCGCGTTTCTCACGATTTTGCCAATGTTAACTTTACGGCTATTTATTATTGTCCGAATAAAAGTATTCGTCCAGTTTTACAAGTGTGCTGAATCGATCACAAATGTCATTTTGTGGATATATCTTTTTATTTGAAAGTGTAACGAAAAGAATCTTGGTATGCATTTTCTCACTTCTGATGTCATTAAACAAGGATGGTCACAGCGACTACTACGGAGCCTTAATTGACATGTGAACTATTTTAAATAGAAACACATTTGAAATCTTATGAATGTTGTAAGTCTCTCTACGTAATATCCCAAGTGCTTATACATACACATCAGTAATATATCCCTGTATTTTGAAAAAGGTTTAATAGACTCACTTGTATTATACTATTATTGTCACTTAGATTATCAGCCAATTAGCTTCTGATGGCTGAGAATATTGTTGTAAACTTTAAAAGGATCCCATTATATATATAGGTACAGCGATAACGCATACATAAAATAGAATTTTTTAAACTTGTGTGAAATTTTGCAAGTTTCGATATATTCCTAGAGCGAGTCTAATTTAAGCTTGAAACTTGAACGTGCTGTAAATGCATCGAAAGCTATGGGATGAGTTGCTCACGTGATGCCATAAATTATACTTGTTGTCCACAAACTTGCTTTAAGATGTACTTGCTTTTAGCAGTAATCAAATTGATCAACCACGATTATTTATTAGAAGAATAATCGATCGTAGTTAGTCAAATTTGCTTACTGCTTACGTCTTCAAGCAAGATTGTGGACAAGGGGACAGCTCTGGTTTTTAGGGCTCAAAATAGTTTTGAACAGTTAGTACTATTCGAGACAGATTGTGCATACTAAATAATATTGTAGTTATTCTGAAGCGGTTTTAGGTATTCCATATACTATTATGTTTCCATATTATACAGGATGTCCTGCTATAACCCGCTCTCTTTTATCTTCTAAATTAAAAAAGATAGACCATAAAAAATATATATTAAATTAAACTCTTGTGATTATGGTGGTTGTCTATAAAAATTATTTTAGTTAGAAAACAAAGAGGTATATATATATATATAATTTTTTACGGTGATATAAATATTTCAATGTAATGAAAGTTGTAGCGCTGTTTATGACGAATACAACGATGTGCTATATAAAGGGATTATTTTACAAGTTCTACAAGTTTGTCGGTATAAAGTTTTATGAATAGTTACTACCTTTACCTTTTCGATTCTGTCGTGTGGCCAACTTCCAATTTCTGCATATTATCGGTTGACCTGTAGTGCTAATAAATTTAATGTATTTTTATATACACTGAATACAATCAGATATATCAACCACTAATACAAGAGTCGAGCTAATGCAAATTCTCTAACTTAAATAATTGTTATAGACAACCACTATGCTCATAATAAAGTTTAGTTAGAACTATTTAATTTAATATATATTTATTATGGATGGTCTCTTTTAGTTTAGAAGATAAAAAGGAACAGCCAATTATAGGGGAACACCCTGTACAGTTTAACGTTCCGTGTTAAGTATATCCCTGCATCAAATTTCTGACTGGATGAGGCTACCTAATGACACACAAGATACGTTATGTTAACGGAATATCAATTTTGTACATCTCGTATCATGAAAAAATAATTTGATATCAATGAGTAAAATTCTCCTGACAATCTCTCCAGTAAAAGCGATAAGATCAGCGAAACGTACGAACGACGACCACTTTATGCATTTAACGTTAAATATGTTTTTCCGATTTTGCGTTGTCCGCATGGCGCTGTACTCAACACAAAGATCCTGAACGTGCGAACGTTGTGTTTAGACAACAAATGTTAATTCTGACAACGCGGTAAAAATTGATGTAAAGCTATATTCTCTTCGACTGCGCTTTTTTTGTATTCTCACCAGCCAGGTACGATAAAACAACGTCGGTCCAAGAACACGTACGAATTTTATATTCTTATCGCGTAATCCGCAATTTTTGCGTTACTCTACAATTTTGCGTATCATACAGGTTTCTGCTAAAAGTATAAGATACAAGGAATGTCACTGCAATTACTTTCTACAATTAGCACATTCCTAAGGTATTAGCGTCGCACAAACAATGACATTGCTCTGTGAAGCAAAAAGCTATTTTGTATTAGAAGATAAGGAAGATTCTTTCGAAGTTTAATGTGTACCGGCGTAGGTCATTGGAAAAATGAACGAAACATATCCATTATAAAATTGTCGGCAGTTTTTAACATTCCTGAATTTTGCAGTGTACACACTCGCAACAATCATAAGGCTATTTTTGTAATTAGTAAAACAAGTGCTCTCTTTTGGTAAAATATATTACTATTATTATTATTATACTACAAAAGGCTAATTTATTGAACTATACTTTTGGATATCTCATTCTGTGCATATATAATGATCCTTAAATCTTATGACATCATATCCATATGATAGGAAGTAGAATATCATAGAGGAAAATCTTATCTCTGTGAAATACAATATATATTTTATTTAGTTATTTATACAAGTTAAAATACTTTTTATTCTATTAAAAATGATACTGTTAGCACATGTGCAATTTTCTGGAAAATATGGAGGTTCTATCACTACACTATCTTCAATTTTTAGAACATCGCCCTCTTCCCTAATTGGAAATCGCTTCTCCAACAATAATTGTTTGATGGTATTTTTCCTTTCAGTAACCTTTTCTTGAGAAACTTTCGTGGAAGACAGTAGAAATAAATCGGGCACATTCCTGTCCGTTTCAGATATTACTTCAATACTTTTTATTGAATGACCAGATATTATTTTCAAATTGTATTTTGCAGCTTCTTTAGGTTGCAGAAGTACAACACTGGAAAATAACATCATTATTTACAAGTGAAGTAAAAAATTAAAAAAGTTAATTAATGATCAAATAAGAATATTGAAATATTTTACATATTTATACTCCTAAATACTCTTGAGAAAAAAAAAATATATATATATATATTTCAAATGATAGCTATAGCATCAAGAATTATAATAAAACAATGATTATTAGTTCAATTTAACTTTTCAAACTTAAAATATTTCAACAGCTTTCCTAACCTGTCGGATACTGGGTCGATCGTATAAACGATACCGCAGTGAGAATCTTCGTCTTTCATTGTTATCTTACTATCTTTCCCGACATAGCTATTAAATAAAATTGGGTCATTCTTATATATTTTATGTGAAAAAACTGAATCCTCTTCTTCTTGAGTCGTCATATTACATCGCCAAAGGCTGGATTCACTGAAAACAGCAGCCCAGGAAGCGTTTAAGGTGCCATTTCATGCACTGAAGAAAAGCCAGTGTATTATGCTCTCTCCACCGCAATGCAAAGTGGCGTTGAAAAACTATCGCTGTTAGTCTGCTTCCTCTTTATGGAGCGTATCTTTTCTGACTTTCCTAGCCACTACAAAGAAAAGAAGGACGCAGGCTTTCTGGTTGTTTTGTATATAAACATTGCGCAAATAATTAAAAAAAGAATTAAAGTGTCACTTAGGGAGAATGACAAGTGTCAATAACCACGTTGCTACCAAAATGGATTATATATATGATTATATAATATCGTTATATATATGTGTAACACACGCGCGCGCGCGCACACACACGCACACAATATTATTAATATTCTTCAATATTCTCGATAAAATGTTATTATTCTTATATTCTCAAGTACCCGGCTCTATCACTTCGTTTTCCAGCGTTGCTTCGCTTACACAACCATTGGTTGCATTCAGAAAACACAACATTTATACAATGGTTGAATAATTCGTTGTAACGTCCCCATTTATCAGGGACGTACCATTATGATAAGTTCGACGCTCTAGACGTACTGGATTGGTGGAGAGCTTCAGTAAACGCGCCATGATTGTGCTCTGTTATAATTCATTTTCCCCTATATCGCTCTAACCCATAGAGATATAAGAATAGAGGGAACAAGGGATATATGCTACCTGTAAGTGGAAATGATAGAGGTCAAGAGAGAGATGGATGCCGAGTGTCCTATCTGTCTCTTTCTAGTCGAGCGCTGTGATTGGTTGTTACAATAAGCCACCAAGACGACCACGCGACGTCAGGAGGGGAGAAAGCAGACTAAAATTTCGTTTTGTAAATATGCGTGCACATGTGTGTAGAATTAAAATTCGTTAAATATTCGAACGTTAACAAAATAATAATTGAACGCGATTTGTTAAAAAATGAGGCATTGTTTGAAATGCAAGGCGGAGTCTTATCCTGGATGTAACCGCAGTTTTCACTCGTAAGAAAGTACAAATACGTAACCTCAAATAATTATATGTTATTTTTTCCTACATTAAAAAAAATATGTAAATGTTGTAGGCTACCGAAGGATGTAGATATAAGGCGTAAATGGTTGAATATACTTCAACTACCTTTGTATTTTGAAGTGAAAACAGCATATATTTGCAGTGATCATTTTAGCAATGACAGTTTCTTTGAATTGGATGGAGAAAAATGTATAGCTATATCGTCGTTGGTGCGGCAGCCAATCCCAGCGTGTGACTAGAAAGAGACAGATAGGACACTCGGCATCCATCTCTCTCTTTGCTTCTATGACTTCCACTTACAGGCTTGTTCCCTCTATTCTTATATCTCTATGCTCTAACAAGAACTTGAAACCTATTGAACACATATATGTAATGATGGATCCATATTTTATCAATGGTTACGACTCGACGCAAAAACCAATAACAATACCTTAAAAACAACGCAATATAAAGGGATGTAATTAGAAATATTAATTTTAAAGTGAGACATTTTTTTAATAGTAAATTGACAGCAAAAATTATCAATTTGCTGTGACAAATCATTTCTTTTGAATAGTAAATCAGTGTTAACATGTTGCTATCAATTTTCTGTTGATAGAATTAGAATTCACATGAGTTCAATGTGACAGGAATAACGCTGTCTCACTTTATTCCTAATTTCTTGAAAATAATTGTTTCAACAATTGGCGACAATACAACAACAATTTCACAGATAATTTGGCTATCTGGGTCCTATGGTTATTGTGATATCCCAAAATGATATCTATAAGATATCTCTCAGATAAAGTATGCTATGTAGGCGTTTTTTGTAGTACGTCTTTATCGAAAAATATAACACAAAAGTATAGGATGACTGATGGGGATATGTTGAAAGTAAATGGTTATTACTTCACGACAAATAGGCCGAACAAAATGAATAAAATGCCAATTTATGGAGGAAACTTGTCAATTTTACTATCATATATGTGAAAAAGAAATATAATTATTAAATAATCAAAATACATATTATAAAAAAGGACAAAAATTTGCTTGCGAGTACGGATTAATAATATATGTTTTCAAAGTCCATCGGAATCAGCACGAAACTGCAATCGTTTTCGAGAACTTTGAAGTACATTATCTAACATAGATGTAGGAATGCTGCGAGCGCACTTTCGAATACTATCTATCAGCTCTACGGTGTTTTGAAGTTATACGGCGTAACATATGTCTTTGAGGTAAAAAATCTCCAAAGAGAAAAATCACACGGGTACAAATCAGGCGATTAAGACCATTCCAGACCGTCATGAACAAATTTCGGGTATCTTAATCCAATTACCCTATTGCTATACACTTTATATGTCAATTCAAACACTTCGCGAGTACGGTATAGGGTCGCGTCATTTTGTATAAAATATATATTGAATCAAAAGGGAATTTCGTAGGCATTAAGAATTTTAAGTTGTTCTTTATTCTGAAGAAGTGAACTGAAATGTTTCACAAAACATCAAAAACAAATCCGCTAAAGATGTGATGCTAAACCGGGAGCCAAATTAAACAAGTATTAAGAGACATTTTTAAATTGATTAGAAATTTTATACTTTATCTGTTTAGACGTAAATACAAGGCGTGTCTGCATTCTCGTGAACTTGGCGGCATGTATTTGTCATAAAAGTCTTGAACAAATTCCTCTACTTTAAAGCTAAACTTTTGGTACAATATTACGGCGGGGTTCGTAGCCGACACGTGTAATGTGACATCTCGTCCCATGCATGTCTGTATTAAATGATACAACATGAACGTGCCAATGCCGACTTTTCGCCATTCCGGTCGCGTCAAGATGAATGAGATGTAGGCTTCATTGTATCCAACATCTGGCACTAATACCGCGAATCCTATGACTAATTTTTTGTACAATACAACACAGGTGAAGTCTGGATACTGCAAACATTCGGTCACTAAAACAAGAAGAAAAAACATTGCGAATACTACTGAGATCGACAATTTGATTGGAGACTTGTGTCAACAAATTTTCAAAGATCTCAAAATATACTCACGATCTATGCCAGGCCAAAAGAATTGATTGCAGAGACTGTTGATTGCAGGGATGTGCTGTGGTTTAACGTAGGAATAATCGATAGGTGCCCTGGGTGACGGTTTCCACTCAGGATTATTTTGATTCGCTTTCATGCATACTTCTTCCATGATTTTTAACCATAATGGCTGCGAGCAAGTATCTCGCCTTATGAACGGTTTCAAAAGTCTATTCGTATAGGGACTATGCACGGCTGTAGGTTCGCTATAACCTTGCAGCCTTTGTTCAAAAATGGATCCCAGATCGTCGACGAAAAATCTATCCAATACTCGGTCGTTATTTTTCGATAGTTCCATAGATGCTCCTGACTCTGATTCTAAACAATCGACGTCCAACAAAGGTAGCCCATATTCTCTTTTCGTTTTACGTACTGCTAATTTTCTATATAGTCTTCTAACATGGTGCGATGCTTTGTCGAGATCAGTCTTGTTGACTTTTTGTAATAAATAAACTTCTTCCTGGCGTGTCATGCGTGGTATCTTTGCACCTATATATATATGGGAAAAACGTATATATATATTTTTATATAATATAAAAACCATGTATGTAATTCAATAAAAAATAATTACCAGTAATGGCGGATCTTTTGGACCAAGGCCATTTCCGGCGGCTTGTTTCTTTGAATAATGAAGCTATAGGTTGTTCTTGTATAGAAACAGAACTTTCATTACTATCCTCATCATATTCTTCTTCTTTTGTGTTTTTGTCTTCATTGCCAGTGTCATTCAACCATGGAGGACTCATGTTACACAACCACTCGCAATAATCGTCCGTTGGTCGTGTCAAAAAATTGGTATCTTCATATTGATGGTCGGATATTAAATCAAAGATTGAAAGAACATGGTTCTTACTACTTAACATTATATTATCCCCGGTACTCAAATCTATAATTTCACAAAATTCCTATAACACAAATGCATATCACATACTATCTATTGCTATTTATTGTCTACTACGTACCATGTGGCTCATTATCTTCAACTACAAAATCAGATAACATATCAGTGGGTTGAACATTAACATGGCAATATAGAGATGATAAACTTTGTTGCTTGATCAATTCTCTTCCACAGTTGCTATCTTCTCCAATAGAGATGCTGGAGTCTGATTGAGCAGGACTACCAGATGACTTACCAGATAATTTTGTACTCAAGTTTTTTTTTCTATCCTGTATCACTTTATTATCTGCAAACAAAGATCACACAATTATTACAATTTTGTAAACTATTCAAAAATATATAATGTATTAAAGTTATATTACTTCTAGCAATTAAAATTTCCGGAGGATCAGTATGCATTAATTTCCACCATCCAGACTCTTTTAATTCAATAGTGCCAGATTTGAAAAATATTCCACCATAATGAGATAATGTGCCAGAAATAGTGCCAGTCCAATTTTTTTTCTTTTTGCTAAGTAACATTAAATTTGTAGATTTTAAAAACTAAATAAGTATATATAAATACTATAAATACAATACACACAAATATACATTATATAAATCATAGTAAAAGAATACAGTACTTACATAGACTTTTTAAATAGAACATCCCAGTGTTTGTCTACAAAAGTACTAATATCAGACTTCCAATGAAAATATCCTCTATTACTGATACCACTAGATTTTTCACGTAAATTATAAAGCGTTAAGACAATGACATTGAGCCATGGCATCTTATCACGTATTACTGTTTCTTCACTTGACTGACTGCAAGAGGCACAATTAAATTCGAAGAAAACATCTCCCACAAAAGGAGTTGGTACACTGCCTCTTTTCAAGCATTTTATATGTATTTTTCTATTACATCCACCGCTACAATTTAATGCTGGTTTATCATAAGGATCACATGCTTTTCCGCAATTGTTACAACTTTTGATATTATTGGTCTCTTTTGACTCTCTTAAACCATCTGTTGCGCTTTCTTCTTCAACTTCTAACATTTTTTCCTGAAACGTACAAAAACGAATTAACGAGACTTAAGTGATTCTTCATATTCTGATTAAAAGCTATCAATCAACCAGTAGAGTTGTTAATATGGAAAATATAAGGCAGTAAGTTGTTAAAACTGAAGATTTGCACATTTACTTTTTTGTAATCTACATTTAAAATTACGGTAATTATTTAGTTTAGTCACATCAGCACAAATATCGATGAAATTACGCTTATTCGACGCGTTTTTGCACAAAACAAAAGAATTTGGCAGAAAAAATGTCGCTCTGCCTCACGAAGCGAGTTATTAATCGTCAAAGTCGACGACTTGACAGGTTAGGAAACCTGTCATACCGACGAAATGTTGCGATATGAGCATGCTCCGTGATATAAAATTATGGTATTAAATAAATATGAGTATTAAATCTTCGCCTTACTAAACAGACTGTTCTTTGTCTAAACGTTGAACTAGTACACATTTTTGTAACTTAACTTACCTTGCGGTTCTATTTACTAGCAGAAATCAGTATCAAAATGGTTCAATTGTCCCTACGAAAGAAAATATTTACTTTTAGGTTATGTAATAAAATCTGTTAGTTTTCGCGTCGCTGAACTAGTGCAATCAGTTGAAGCGGGACAAGTATATAGGTTTGTTCGTTTTCGCTGCACCGCTGAACTAGCGTAATAAGTTGAAGCGAGAAAACGTATACTTAGGTCTGTTCGTTTTCGCTGCACCGCTGAACTAATGCAATAAGTTGAAGCGAGACAAGTATATGTTTTCTCACTTCAACTTAATGCACTAGTTCAGCGGTGCAGCGAAAACGAACAGATCTCTTGTCTCGCTTAGGTCACTGCAGCAGACCACGTGATTTATGATCTCATGAAAAGACAACAGAAGTTTGCAGTTTCGCGATTATCATAGTAGTTAGTTAGCCCTTTTACCTTTTTTTCCTCCATTGCTCCGGCAATAGCCTCAGCTAGCGTAGTGGGAGCTTGGGATCGCATTATGGTTTACGGCTTCTCATTCAGCCCAAGTTGGAAATTAATTAACTCGTATAATTCTGTCGCTAGTTTATCGACTCTCTTTCCGTAGACCCGTGCTTCTTCTCCGGTCTTCGGCCGTAAGAAATTAAATTCGCGTTGCAAGCGTGTAGTCGACCTTTTTCTCGAATAGCATGCCTCTAATATTTCCTTCAATTCTCGGTAGGTCGTTACATTTCGGTTTTCCATCTCCGTCATGGCCTGTCCTTTTAATTTCGTACAGGTTATTGCCTCAGTTAATGCAATTTCTTCTGTAGGATGTATTAGACCGTAAACATAATTGCAAGCGTGCAGGAATTTCTTGAGACTCTCTTCACTTGAGCCATCAAAGGTCGGTATTAAGTCCCTGGCCTTCTTTATTTGCTGTCTGTTGGCGTCGGTTATGAATGAATTTAATGCGAGACTATCTTCCGAGAAGGGATCATATATATGTGTGTGGTTATATGTTCTGTCTCTGTCCAGTGTCCCGTTGCAGTAGGCCTTTGTAGATTGGTGGATCTTTCTGCGTTATTTGTTGCGTGAGTTGAGTCGACGCGAGTAGTGTGGGGTGCCCGTCACAGCGCGGTAGAACGGAAGGCGATGGTGACAATAAATTATCTCTCGTTCGAACTTGTCTGTATTATGTTTTCCGTCCGATACAGTGTTTCTGATGTGACCGACAGCATGTCGGTCCCCGAGAGGTGAGAGTCTAGAGTCGCCCCCTGAGTTCGATCTCACGTCCCTTTTATCCTCTTCCTATGTCTCAATCAGAGGGGATAGTTTTGATGTGTCAGCGTCACTTGGGTATGGGCGCTGATCATCTTGATTTCGGCATTGCATACGCCAGAATGCAGAGTAGCATTTCTTCAAGATGACGTTACGTAATCGGGGCAACGTGCGATCGTAATTTGTTTATAGCAATTGACGCGTCTCGTGGTTATGCTTACAACAAGTGCTAGACCACATGTTGCAACACCAGTGAAGGAAATCTTGCAGGCACTTGGATGGGAGGTCTTACACCACCCCACCCTATTTACCAAACGTTGCTCCTTCAGATTACCATTTGCTTCGATCGATGCAGCATGACCTTTCTGAGCTGCACTTCAGTTCTTCCGAAGATGTCAAAAAATGGCTCGACGATCATCTAAAAAGAATCTGAATTTTTCTACCGCGGAATCTATATGTTACCCGAAAAGTGGAAAAAGTTAATTTCCGAAGGACGATATTTTGAATAAGACATAATGTACCGTTCTTTTGAAATAAACATGAGTTTTGGTAGCAAGAAACAGCGGGAATTAATTCAAGCACCTAATAATATATAAGTATTTTGCCATTTCTAGATTGATCAGCTATTACAATCTAATTATTTTCATAATCATGAATGATATTTCAGAAGGGATTGTTATTGGTAAGATAGTAATTGTCATTAATCAAAAGATGTGTTATTTTATTATAATTGTTACATTACAGAGAGTGAAAAAAGAGATTAAACAACCCCAACATATTATCTAGTATTATTATATAACAGCAGTTATATTACATATTCCTTCTATTTTATATGATAGTTATGTTCTATGTTTGCTGGAAATATATCCTGCGCTGTTACTTTTTCTACATTTATAGGATTTTCCATATTTGCATATTTCTTTGTGGTTATTTATAATAACCTCTCACAAGTTTGTAGCGTAATATCATTGCAATTTTTGATTTTGAAAATAAAATATTCAATTGAAAATAAAATATTCAATTTCACAAAAATAAATTTTTCATCTATTGCTTTTTTATCTACTTTTAAAGAGTAAAGAGTAGATTCGGTAAAAGATCTCGAAGAATATGCGGTTAATATTAAAAAAATATAACATGTGTTAACGAATCAAGTTTCCGCGATGATAATATTTTCCTTTGTGCAAATTGTCTGCAAATTTTATTTGAGATGTTAATTCATCATGGTGTTTTGAATCCAGTCCATATGAGAGCAGATATCGGTTTTTATATCTGGAACACCTGTGGCGCAAGGCCTTCCGGCAGAGACTACGCCAATAATCTTTCCATCGCATATTACAGCACTACCGCTATCACCCTATAATACAAGATTGAAGATTCTAGATGAAAAGCGTTGCTTTAAAACTTAGCGTAATAAATAAATCTAAATCCGTAAGAGCGAACTGAACAATGTAATGTATTCGAAGAAAATATAAAATTTTTATATATCTTATAACAATGTATAAAGCGTTGTTAATGCAATTACGTACGTTACATGTTCCTAGACTAGGTGCTATGAAGGTGCAGAATTCTATAGCAGGAATCTTTTGCGTATGATACTTCTGACACTCAGAGTAGGTCATGTAAAAAGTGTTTAATATCTGTAAGTTGTTCGACACAGGACCCCTATGGAAAAGTCTACCCCAAGCTACGATTGATACCCTTTTGCCTTGCGGGATAGGAGCATCGCAGCTTGGTAACGGTACCGGTTTCTGGACATCATTGAATTCGATATCCTTGGCCAACTGAAAAGTGGAGGATATCAAAAACTAAATTAGTAAACAATTTAATGATTCTAGTTATTACGTAGTGGAAAATGCGGTCCCAGCCAGGAGTTGAATCCGAACTTCCTTATGTGCCGCACAAGACACCGTACCATTTGATTATTGAGACCTCAACAAATATTCCTCATAACAAATCGATGTTTATAAACTCATATGACACTCACTATATGTATGAGAACGAATTGAAGTATATTTTTCGGCCCATATAATAAGTCTTAAAGTTTGAAGGCTTTAAAGAAAGATAAATTATCAGTATATAATGATTGTTAGTACATAGGAGTCAAGCGCGGATGCTTTAATGCACCGAATTTTAATGTATTTCGCACACATTGCGGACAATTCATTCATATTAATAATATTACAATATTAATATTTAATGGCGTTAAAACATCCGTGCTCGGCTCCTAATGGCCTTATACTGACAATTTAAATCTTATTTTCTTTAAATAATAATGTTTCTTCCATCAAATAATACGGTTTAATCTAACAAAACAAAATATTTGTTATAAAATTATATTATTTTAGTTAAACATATCCGAGTAAAAATTATAAGAATACTGAATTTAAAGAAAAGCACTTTCAAGAAATTTAGACAGAAACTTTTCTCTCTATTTGAAAGACAATCGATCGCGGATTTGTTGATTTATTGAATGTTATTAGATTTATATGTTACAGACGCGTAGCGTTTTATATTATTCATATTATATTATTTATTCAAGATTATATGAAGAAGTGAAGAAGGAAATATTTTATTATAGCGAAGATTTACCTTAATTAAACCAATGTCGTAACCAACATTTTGAGGATCATATTTCTCATGGTAATACATATCTTCGATATCGTAAAGAACTCCACCACTATTGAGAGTAGTAGTTCCGCTAAGGACCTTCATTTCATTCATTATGGGTTTATCTTTATATGGTTCCACACAATGGGCGGCGGTTAGAATGAAGCGTTTATTGATTATGGCACCACCACAATTGTGATGTCCTTGTTTGGATATGGAGACTGCAAACGGATACTTATCTATGCTGGTATTAACAGCGTTCACTAGCCTTTCCGGTTCATCTGCATGAATGCCTATAAATATAAATCACAATGCTGGAGTAATAAGAAGAATTAATAATACTAATCAAATAATACTAATTAAATAATACTAATTTTTACATGCTAATTTATTAATGCATTTTGAAAATGTAATGGAATTTTTAAAATGTTTCTCTATTCCTTTTTCACAGAAATTTATTCATTCTATATACGAAAATATTGAAATAAAGTCGTAAAAATCGTACACCAAAACCAAAGCTATCTGTGTTTGTACCTCTATTTTATCGACGGAGCTTGCTGACAAACAATCTGAGCAGATTAGCAGTAGAAACTACACAGAGCCAGTCGCCAAATTGCGCGCAGCAAGATCAGCTTACTTTCTACAACTAATCTGCCATCAGATCGACATAGATTTTGCTCGGTTTTTGCCGCCAATTTACTCGGATAGCCTGTCAGCAGGCTCTGTCGCATTTCAAGCAGTTTAACAACATAATCTGATAGAATAAATATTAGTTCCGTTTACTATTTAATATTGCAGTTTGTAATTAGTCTTTATATTGGTTTTCTTATGCCTATTCATTTACCTCGTAAAAACATTTAATATGTGTATAATATATGTTAACTTACCAACAACCGCGAATGCGATCAGGATATACGCGAGTTGCATCATCGTACAGCAGTTGCTATTTCTTCACTGTTCGTAGTGGGTTTCACCAAATACAGTAAGGACCGATATATATGTACAATTTATATATATCTTGAGATATGTACACAGCTGCGACTAATATGCAGCTGTTCAATAGCTGTTTTATCTTTGTTAACATATTAATTTTAACTTCTGATGACAGTCGCAGTTAGGTAAGCATTGTGCAAAACAATAGAAACAAAAGACGATACCAAGGTAAAATTTGTCTCCTAATTCAATTAATATTCAAGAAATATTGCGAAAAGATATTGCAATATTAGTGACTTTTACAGAAATTTAATATCGATAAGTTAGGTATTAATTATTTATTTTAGTATTTTTTTATTGCGAAATAATATTTCTCCTCTCGGGACACACGGTTCTACTTCCTATCTGTTTACATTGTACTTCTAATTATTTCTAATCATTCTAATCCATTTTGCCAATGAAATTCGGGAAAGCAAACTTTATTTGCAATAAACTCGTCTTCGATTGTGCATTATTAACAAACTATATGAAATAAAATAATATCACTTTGGAACAATGCGGTACGAAGTTAAAAAAATCCGGAACCCCGTTTAAAAATAAAATTTTCAAAAAAGGGGCAGCCACGTACACGTATCGGAGCCTTTTTGTTACGAGAAACCGTTTCGCGCGCTATTGCTGCAAAAACTCCAGAATCCAACGGCGTGTACTTCATTTTCTTCTCTTATTTTTTCCATCATAATATCAGGATTAATACATCTTCGCTAATTATGGTGCTGAAATTCGTATACGTTGCAGCTTTGCAATTATTCGCGTGTGAGGCGACAAAGTATATGGTTTTATTCTGCAATCGCTAAAAATATCGACGTCATTCGAAAAACATTATATTCTTCAAAGTTCATTTGTGTTGAAATTAGTGGTTTATGATGATATGTTTAATACACCTTCATCAACTAAAGCGTTGAATTGCGAGTGCATTCTGACATGTCGATTATTCTCTATCGCCCAGTTTACATTTATTGGTTATTTGTCGACAATAAATAAAGATTGACGTCCCACATGAAACATTATCTCATCCGTATTCCGTTCTGTAGAAATTAGTGGTTTATAATGACACGATTAATGTTCCTTCGTTAGCTAATGGGTGGAAACGCGTGATCTTTGCGTAAAGTCATTCCATCGCTTTCGTATTATAGTGCACTTATGGCTTATTTCTCAGCACGCTTTAATAGAAGAACGCGTATTAATAATATCATTGGAAGAATTGACAGAAAACACTGCGGAATATGCCACCAGATCCTGGAGTTTGTCGACAACACTGTGTGAGATGATAACGTTTAATAAAAAAGACTCCAACACTCATGTTCGGCGTTCCATTTGGCGCCGAATAATTGTCCGCCACAAATAATCGCCGAAATCTCAACAACGGCTTCAGGTATGGTCTTTATTTAAAAAAAAAACATTAACTTATCGATACTCTTTTTTTATGGGAAATAATAATTTGCAATGATTCGAATAATACACCTCGTTAATTAAAGCGTGAAGCGCGTGTATCGTATGTCGCGACATTGAGATTATCACGTGCGCGGTGACAAATTTTATGTATTGATCGTATCTTTATTATTATTTTCAATGGAAATGAGTACATATAAGTTTATATCTTATGAATAAAGTCGATATCTGTAGCCGTTGCCGTGATTTCGGCGATTATTCTTTCCATAAAGAATAATGCAAATAACGTAATTAAGAAAGAACCCTTTCATGGGCTGAAGTGAAGTAGTTGTGTAACCAATTTAAGAAAAGACGGGAGCGTATTGAAAACATTGCCGCCGTTCCCGCACCAGCATCACAGCGCAGAACACCGAGGCTGTTCGAGAACTCGTCGAAGGCGATCGGCACTTAACTGTTCTTGAAATCTCTCAGGAACTTCAGTTCGAGCTGCCTATCGGTCAAAAAGGCGCGACAATCCGATCAGAAATGTGTTGCTTCTCCATGACAACGCCAGACACCACATCGCAGCAGTAACACAACAAAAATTGGCCGATACGCACTGGGCTGTCCTAGAACATCCACCCTACAGCCCAGACCTGTCACCATGCAACTTTCATATGTTTGGGCCACTCAAGGAAGCCCTTGGTGGACAGCGCTTCACAACGAACGAGGAGGTGCAGCAGTTCGTGTGCAATTGGTTTGATACACGTCCGCGAACTTTTAATGACACCGGGATTAAAAAATTACCAGACCGTTGGAGGAAGTGTATAGATAAGATGGGAGACTGTAGAAAAATGAGAAAAATGTAAATTAGAATTGATTTTGAGAAATATATGGTTTTTTTTGCAAAAGGCTCGTTTATATTTGGATCCACCCTCGTACAAGCCTCAGGCAAATTGAACGTCTTCATAATATGTCACGCGCATCTGCATCGCGATATTTGAGGCGCAATAAATTCCATTCATATCGCATTATTCCGCATCAAGGGTTAAATGATAATGACCATCGCTATAAATTGTGTTTTCGCTAATGGGCCCATTAGCAAATTAATTAAGATCCCAATTTCTTTTCATACGTAATGTTCTCGGATAAGGCTGATTTTAATAACCGAAGCCAAGTAAATCGTTATAATTACCGTTATTGATCGAATCAGAATTCCCACTGGCTTAGGCAAATTCCGCGTCAACATCAATGGTCTTTTAACGTATAGTGCGGATTAGTGAATAAATATGTAGTAGGGCCACACTTCTTTGACGGTCATTTAACAGCTAACCGTTATAACAACTTTCTTCAAAATAAATTACCAGTACATTTGGAGAATGTTGATTTGCACACGAGACAACGGCCTATGGTTTCAACAAGAAACGCGCACGTGCTCGTAGAGCTCGCGCTATTCGTGGAACGCTAAATAACGTTTTTCGAAACAGCCGGCTTACCATAAGTGCAACCGTAGAATTTCCACCACGTTCACCAGACTTGACCGCTTTAGATTTTTTTTCTATGGGGCTATTTAAAAAATATTATTTACTAAGTTGAGCCTACGACACCCGAAGATATAAAACGTCGTACTGTGGAAATATCTCTGCACCAACATTGCAGAGGGTAGAGAACAGTTTTCGAAATCGGGTAAACTTACGCATTGAAACAAACGGCCAAGCATTTGAACATCTATTGGCCTAATTTTATATTCATAGTTTCTACTTAACACACACACACACACACACACACACACACACACACACACACACACACAATTGGCCCTTTTTAAGGCCACTATGATGTACAAATCCGACCGAGCAACCTGCCCGCAGTGTTCACAGAGCTTGCAAATACTAACGCTACCATTACACTATCTCGGAAGGAATGGTGTTTGTAATGCGAAGTTATGACGTGCAACACTATCACTAGTAACGTCATGATCGCGTCTGTTAGTACTATCTTCTAGCTCCGCGAAGAGCATTTAGCGCTAAATAGCGCTAATAACGTCTCCCCGAACGCATCCAATAGATGCTTTAAACTAAGCTTTAAGAAATTGACCAATCAGAGTTCTATGTTTCTATCTTCACGATGGAAACGAAGGATCCTGATTGGCTCGCTTTCTTATGCGTCACGCATTATGCGCTATGCTAATGTGTGTACTTCCCGCTTTAGAGCTTAAATTCTCATTGTAGACCCCGCTTAAGCGATTACTTTCTGACGTCATCTTAATGTCATCTTGATTTTTATCATTTTTCGTTCTGCTCGCGACGGTATAGATCCATTCCTTAATTAGTTAATTAATTAATTTTAATTACGAATGTTACCTTAATTCGATAAGGGCTCATTAATCGAGAAAACGCACACACTAATATCCGTGCGCTGATTCTTATTAACCAATTCGCGTAATTTGTTTGTCTGAATGGTCAGAACCATTATTCGCGTTATTAACGGGCTAATTAAGGAAATTATCACATTCCCACAGACGCTTCGAATTCACGAGAGACACAATACGATACATACCATGTCCACCATGATGTAATTCATGATCGAATTCACATTAAACACGAACGCCAATCGTTGTTTGATGGAGATGGATTTCCACGCGATCGCTCTTTTTCCGCGTTCGCTTTCTCTCGCATTCTCTCTCCTTTTCTCGTTTCCAGCGCGCGCCGGCAGCGCCCATTTTCACCTCTGTTTTGCGCGCGCTCGCTCGCTCGCTTGTACAGGTGCCACCTCGCTCACACGCGTGTACTACGCACGCATGTTTCAGCAAATTGTCATGAACTAAATGCCATGAAAGATTCGTAAGCTCACCGCGCGGAGCGCCGGTGTGCGAATGCGACCCGTCCAGAGAAAGACAAATGAATGGCGTATTTATGTGTTTTAACGCGCAATGTTCGCCTATGTTCTCGAACTATCGCGGGCCGCGTACACGCCGCGTTCTAATCTGTGCCAAGTGATTTATTCTCATACGGTAACCTCGATCGGCCGAGCCTCGCTGTGTCGCAGAAAGCACATTGTCACTCGGTAGGCGTTGTTGCTGTCATTTGGCTTCCTTCGCCCCGCGCTGTTTTCAATCATTTCCACGCCACTCCTGTGTTTCTTACGTACTATCTCTACTTCGGTGGTAGATAAATCGGTCACTCATCAATCAGCGAGAGACTTTAGCGAGGTGTTACGAGTGTTACGAATGCGGAACGTCAGACGTGTGTAAGCCAATATCTGACAGAACTACTACGGGCTTTATCTTCATAGAGAGATCACTACATTGGATGTAATTCGTAATACAGTTGCGACATTATGTTGTTACCTTGTCTAACATAGTGTAATTTTAATAATTGCTTCTTTTTCTCAAAGGTACTACCATGTTTACTAAGAAGAAAAAGAAACCGCAGATCTCTACGCCGACCAATTTCGAGCATAGAGTGCATACCGGGTTTGACAAACGTGAGGGCAAATTTGTTGGACTGCCATTACAATGGGCTTCGATAGTGGGCAATAACCAGATCCTGAAGTCAACCAACAGACCATTACCCTTAGTCGATCCAAGCGAAATTACACCTACAGAAATCCTTGATTTAAAAACTATCGTAAGAGGACATAACGATCCTAGGTTAGGAAGGCCACTCACAAATGAGAAAACTATGGAAAACGGCTTACCTAAAACCAGTACAGTAGCTCGATCTAATTCTCTACGTTCTTCAAGCCCACCACGGTTGAGGCGAGATTATAGGTATCATGAGAGAATGCTTTATATTAGATTTACTTGTGCTATCGAATTAAATATTCTATGGATATTGTTTTCATGAAATTATCACAAGTGTCAAGATATTTTACAATACTACAAAGAACTGTTATTCGGGAGAAAGTGCAAGATTATTATTTAATACATCGGCTACCATAAATCACCTGTATCTGAATGAGTTTCTGTAAAAGTCTCGTCACTTGTTTACGGATGATGGTTTTACTTATTTGCTTAGGAACCAAACTTTATTAAGTATTTATAAGAATATGAAAATAGTGAAATATCATTAATGTAATACTAAGAATTTAGAATCTGTGTGAAATTTAGATATGAATTCTCTATAGCAGTTAATGTGTTAATGTAGAAGTTAGCTGCTAGCATCTGTAGAAAGTGCAAAGTATGTGTCAGCATATTAAAAAAGAAACTTTGAATAAAATTCATGTTTATAATATAACTTTCACTCGCAGGCATAACAGCAATCTTCCACCATCTGTTCCCGAGGGCCAAGAGATATCTTCAAATGTTCATCAAGGTTTCGCAAATTTTGGCAAGCCACATAACTACATCGATAAACTGAGACAGAACTCCCCAAGTGTTGGCAGTGGCCTAAATTCCACCAGCATGCAGAACATGATTCCAAATCTACAAAATCTTAATCCTAACATGCAATCGTCGCCAAATTTAACTCACTCAGGATCGAACGTACCAAACTTATCTTTAAATTTTCAAAATTTAAGTCCTATTGTAAACTCGCAAATTACAGTACAAAGCCCAAATACGCCACAGCTTCCTGATTCAGAATTTCATAGACTAAATTCGCAAATAGCCATGACATCAAGTCAATATAATGGCAATGTACAGGTAATTACAGTATTTGTTCTAAAGAAAGCAACTTTAAAACATATTGATACTTTATTGAAGTACCGATATACTTTAAAGCCAAGTAATCTAAAAATACTTACAATATTTATAGTATATTTACAATATATTTATTTGCTTATTATACAATATATTTACAATACTTTAAAGCCAATTAATTAAAAATATTTACAATATTTATAATTATGCAACCGGATTATTGTTATAATTGAAGTGTCTATATTATATATATGAGTTTGAGTTTTGAAAACTTACATGTTAACAAATATATAATGGGATACATGTATATATATATATATTCAAAAACATTTTAACTTGAATATGATACTTTCTATGGTTAAATTCTAATATAATTGCTTGAGAAATCTTAAGACGAGTTCACATACTAGCACCTATGCCATAATATGATATTACTGTTTATAATATTATCATTTATATTTGCAGGGTTCAACTATAGATGCTTCAAGAGAACATCAAGTAGGCCAAAATGTGTTACTACACAAGCTACAACCAAAAATTTCACCAGTGGGTTCAATAGCCTCGCAACGGCCACTAAGCCAATTGAGTTCACATAATATTAACAAATATTCTCAGGCATATAACATGCCTGAAAACCCATCTAATCTACAATCACACTTGAAGAAGCCAATGGAAACTTCGCAATCGATGCATAATTTATCGAAACCAAGTATATCGTCCACGGTGTCAGGTGCTAGTTCTACTCCAGATCAGAACCAGAACATGAAAACCGCTGTCTCCTCAGGAAATTTAGCAGTTGGTACAACAAGCTCAAACAATACAAACAAACAAACAGCAGAGCAGAGACTTACGCATGAACAATTCAGGGCTGCTTTACAGATGGTGGTATGTAAAATATTTTGTCTCATTAACATGTTGAGTGCCGCAACAATAACCTACATTAGGCTTTCTGTTCAGGCTACATAGTTCATATATTTTATGTTACCTCTTTCTTTTCATAATAATGATTTTTGCAGTCTTATACATGTTATAAGATATATCTTATAATATGCTTTATAATGATTTTATAGTTTCATAAATATTATAGGATATATCTTGTAACGTGCGGTAACACCGATCGGTAATCCACACAGTATAAGTGGAAAATCATGTGAAATTGGCACAGCACTCAATATGTTAAAATATACAGGATGGCTCATTTTAATCAATTCACGCAAATATGTACGCCTTGTAAAAAAAAATGTTTTAGACAAAATTTGTAGGATTTCGAGGAGGACATAAGATAGGGTGACCTTAACTTTGTTGTATAGTTATAATAATTCAAGGTCAATTTTATTTTTTAAATGGCATCACAGTTTTTTTAACACAATTTTTGTTTTAATAATAATCGATTTTTTTGTTCATTCTGAGTATAAAAGTACTAGAGTAAAATCATTGAAAAGCGAATACTTTCCGAAATATTTTTTATTCTGATATTTTTCATTACAAAGATATGAAATGTCTCACTCTAAAATATTCACTTTTCGATAACATCATTTTAACAATATTTTTATATAATAAAGAAATCGATTATGATAATATTAATCATTTCATATTAATGCATAAATGTATTTGCAAAATGCAATAAATTTTTTTAAGGTTTCTGTGTTTGCTTATAATGATCGATTCCACTTACTATTCTACATACAAAAAGATGTTAAAGTGATGTTATCGAAAAGTGAATACCTTATGAGATATTTCATATCTTGTAATGAAAAATAGGACAAAAAGTAAACTATCTCAAAAAGTATTCACTTTTCCATGATCTTACTCTAGTACTTTTATATATAGAATAAAAGAATCGAACTATATAAAAAAATCTCTATGATTTTATTAAAAAAAAATTTACTTTAAAATAATGTTAAATTATTGGCTATACAATATAGTTATTAAGGTCATTATTACCTTGTGTCTCTCTCAAAACTCGATAACTTTTGTCTAAACCACTTTCCTATATAAGATGTAAGAAAAAGAGATATTTTTGGATGGATTGATGAAAATGAGCCATTCTGTATAAGAATTTCTTTATTAAACATTACTAAATATATAAACGCAGAAAGATATTTAAGGTTCTAATAATAAACTAGGAAGAATATAATAGTCTAATTAGAACTGTCCCTTACCTATACTAACACCAGCGACGGCTATTATCATCCTATCATCCAGTTGATTTTGAAATCTTTATTAAAAATAGTTTTTGAACTTTTGTCAAAGTAAATCTTGACATATTGTTGATTCTTCTATAATTTTACTCTAACTTGTAATAATATGTTTCACATACATGTACACATTGACATTTAGGTAAGCCAAGGTGATCCGAGAGAAAATTTAGAGAATTTCCTAAAGATCGGTGAAGGTAGCACAGGGACCGTATGCATTGCTACTGATAAGAGTACAAATCGTCAAGTCGCGGTCAAGAAAATGGATTTAAGGAAACAACAAAGACGCGAATTACTTTTCAACGAAGTTGTCATCATGAGAGACTATCATCATCCAAATATTGTTGAGATGTACGATAGTTTCTTAGTAGATGATGAATTATGGGTCGTTATGGAATATCTGGAAGGAGGCGCATTAACTGATATCGTAACACACTCGAGGATGGATGAGAGTCAAATAGCTACAGTATGCTCTCAGTGTCTGAAACCACTGGCGTATTTGCACTCGCAAGGTGTTATACATAGGGACATTAAATCTGACTCGATATTACTTACGGCAGACGGCAGAGTAAAACTGTCAGATTTTGGTTTTTGTGCTCAAGTCTCCCAAGAATTACCAAAGCGAAAATCTCTCGTAGGAACTCCGTACTGGATGAGTCCCGAAGTTATTTCGAGGTATTTTATATATTATTTTCTTTTTTTTATACTTTTACTCATTCTTCAGTTTTTCAAATTAAAAATAAGAAATATTTCGATGTACATATGTTATAGTTATGCTTGATTGAAAATATGAATTGCATTGACTGCAAAATATGAATTATCTTGTATTAGGGTGTCCCATAAGTTTCTTCCTTTTTTATAATGCGAAATGAATACACGATATTTGTTGTTTAAGGTTGATTTATTGTGTTATACATGAACCGTTCTGCTCTATTACCTTCTTCCATCTCTCAGGAAGCCTCATTATGCCCTCTTTCCAAAATTGTTGAGGCTTATTTGCAAAATATTCATCAAGGTGCGTTTTTATTTCGCTTACGGATTTGAACCGTTTATCACGGAAAGAATTTTTTAACGAGAGGAACAAGTAATAATCGGATGGAGCAAGGTTTGGGGAGTACGGAGGATGAGGTAGAACGTCCCTATCAAACTGCAATAGTTTTTGTCTTACGACCAACGCAACATGCGGTTTTGCGTTGTCGTGATGAGAAACGACGCCTCGTCGGTTCGCCAATTCTGGCCGTTTTTATGGCGGCTTTCAATTGATCGAGTTGATTGCAATATTTGGCTGAATTGATCGTTTCACCTTGAGGAAGGAGTTCGTAGTAGACTACACTTTTCCAGTCCCACCAAATGCACAAAAGAACTTTCTTCGGATGAAGTCCAGGCTTCGCAACAATTGAATTGAAGGTCTATTTTCCTTAGACCAAGTGCGTTTTCGATGCATATTTTGGTGTAAAATCCAAGTCTCGTCTCCAATGACAAGCCTCTTTAAGAAAGGATCTCTTTCATGTCGCTGGAGAAGCAAATCGCACGTAGAGATGCGGTTCATAAGGCCGGTCTCCATCAATAGGTGTGGAACCCAAACTTCACATCGATTCGCATATCCCATTTTGATTAAATGCTTATGTACCGATGTCCTGGGAATGTTAGTGGCATCCACTAACTCGTGCACACTATATCGAGGATTTTCAGCGAGCATAGCCTTGATAAGGTCTGTATCAGTCGTTGCTGGGCGGCCGCTGCGGTCTTCATCTTTCAAGTCAAAATTACCAGCTCTAAATCTCTTAAACCAATTGCGGACGGTCCTAATAGTCGTAGTACCACTCCCGTAAACGGTGCAAATCTCGTCTGCAGTGTCTTTTGCACTATTATCTTCTTTAAAGCAATGAAGCATAACATGCCGCAAATGCTTCTTTTGGCTATCCATATTGAACGGTGTAGAAAAAAATTTTTAAAGAGACTTTATCACCAATGAAACGTACTTTAAAAGAACTCTGGGACGACTGAAACCGATGCCCTAAACGGCCAAGAGATAAGCCTGCACGTTTATATAAACACAGCCAGCTAGAGTCATTCACAGCGTGGCGCGGAAGAAACTTATGGGACACCCTAATAGCTTTGGTATGCGAAAAGAATTCTCTGCTCTATCAACAATTATGAGTTAACTCATATAAATTTTTAATATTTTATCTTTTATTGTGAGTTTTGCTAATTAACGTAAAATAATTAGTTGCTAATATTAACTGTGCTAATATAGAGTTATGCTATTCAAAGCATATCAAAGTAACATATTGATTTTTTTAAATGACATCGAAAACAGACAAAGTTCCCTGATATCATTGTAGTTATTAGTATATGTTGAATGTTATGTAATTCTTAAAATTGCTTAATAATAGTAACGCGTTATAGTACTCTGATTTCTTGAATCACTTTCAGATTTCATAAGGCATTAAATAAGTAATAGTCAAAAATCATTCTTCGCTACTCAAACTTTCATTGTTTGAATTTTGAATATTACAATAAAGTTATTTGTACTTTTTTAATCCTTAAAGAAAGATTTCTACTATTGTCTAATATGCATATTAATAAAACACAAAAAAACCACCCATTAATTAAATATAACCGAAAAAGTTATCTCCTCAGTTATACCTAATTTTCATATCTCTAATTATCTCTAATTATCTATAGGCTGCCATATGGACCTGAAGTAGATATCTGGTCATTAGGAATAATGATTATTGAAATGATCGATGGTGAACCACCATTTTTTAATGAACCACCTCTGCAAGCTATGAGACGCATCAGAGATATGCCACCACCAAAATTAAAGAATTCTCACAAAGTATGACTAATTATTCTTTTTACTAAATTCAACATAAATATTTTTATATAATAATTTGTTTTTATTTAACAATTTAAGTTTTTGTTTTTATTTAATAATTTAAGATGTGTGTAACTATATTGTAATTCAGGAAATTATGTGTTACCTATAGGTTAGTCCACGTCTACAAGGTTTCTTGGAACGAATGCTGGTACGTGATCCGGCACAACGAGCCACGGCAGCTGAATTATTGCAACATCCATTCCTTAGGCAGGCTCAAAGTCCTAGCATCTTGATTCCATTAATGAGAGGCGCCAGACATACAAATTGTTAACAAGATTGTAATAACTTCGTAAGTTGGAATATATTAGTCAACGCAGAAACTGATTACAGCAATAATCATATCGACGATGATATCATATTAAATCAACAATTTGTTCACTAACCATAGTTTTTGGTAATTTTCGAGTTAACTAAAAAAACGATATCTCGCAAACTAAGAAATTTTAAAGTAAATTTTGCGATAGACACGATCGATCGAATGACAACTGAATTTACATAATATCAAATAATTCAATTGTATATACAATTACTTTTCTCGCTATCCAAATCTAATGCATTCTTGTAAACAATTCGGTTAACGAAAATTAAAAAGAGATCTTCCAGATTCTTCCATATTTTCTTATAAGAAGAATTCTGACTCGTTTTAGGTCGTTTGAAAAATTCACTAAAAAAAATAAACAAGCGGCACTAAAACCTTGCAAAATAATACGGACGTCCTATTATTAATTCAATAAACATTATATAATCAATACATACTTGATAGAAACGTTCAATAATATTTTTATAAATAGTGATATAACAGATAAGTAGCCTCCAATGGAATGTTTCCAAATTGTTATTAATAAACAATTACATTATTATACAATGATACAAATATTTAAAAATAAGACTGAGTGAATTTCGTAACTGAGATTTCGTAACTGAGATCTTGTGTTGTAGCTCTTATTGGTTTTTTTTTTGTTGATTGTGCATCAAAGAACTTTGACGAAAAGTTGATAAAAATAGTTAGAATTGATTAATAAAAATAGAAATAAGAAACGAGAAGCCTCGATATAGCAAAAAAAGTACAAATGAATTCTATTCATTGTAAAAAAAAAATTTCAATAATAAGAGTTTGAATAGCGAGGAATAATTTTTGACTACTATTGTTTTGACGCTTAAGAAACCTGAAAGTGAATTAAGAAATCAATTATAACGTGTCAAAAAATAAGATCAATTTTAAAAATTTTCAAGAAATGAAAAAATATGAATTCCCATGTCTCAAGGTTCCTGTAAACATATTCTATAATTTTTAACGACAACGGTGTTATCGTTACGTTATGTTGTGCGGATGTAACACATGGTAGAAAAGCTATGCATCGACAACTTAAGGATAACGACATTATCGTTAAAAATTACATTAGAGCTCTACCAATGAACTATGTATATATTGAAATGTGGACTCCAATAGAAATGGAAGATTATAACCAAAAATTGGAATACCTCCAAGAAAAATGGAAAATTATAACCAAACGGTCGTTTTCTATTATTGTACACTGAGCTAAAAACATTTGTTCAGCGCACAAAAGTATGGAGCAATGGATTGCCGGAAAATGTTTAATAATTAAATAATTATAAACACACAAAGATTAATTAAAAAAAATGAAAAACTGCAGTCATGTGAAAGCATTTGACAGCTATCTACGACTAGTTGATTGAATCAAGAAGGTTAATAAAACTAGTAATGTTATGTAGTAAAGAACATGGAAAATCATTGACCTATCAAAATTCGCGGGACAGAAAAATGATCCCTAATGAACCTGTCTTTTTGTTTCCCGGGGCACTAAGCATGGCAGTTCACATTACAGTATATAGTTCAGTGAGGACTACTGACTACTCGCTGTAACCGTTCTTGTTTAATAATATTAGAAGTGGGAAAACGCATGCCAAGACTTCTTGCGTTGTACGTTCAAATAAAAAGATATATTCACAAAATGATATTTATGATCGATTCAGCACATTTGTAAAATTGCCCAAACACTCCTCTTGTACTCGAACAATCAATAAATGGTCGTAAAATTAACATTGACAAAATCATGAGAAAAGAGGTTAGAAAGAAAAATATTGTGTCAAGTTAACTTCGCGACTATGATTGTTCAAGTAGAAAAGTGTTCGGATAATTTTATAAATATACTGAATCGATCACACAAATGTCATTCTGTAAATATATCTTTTTATTTGAACATATAATGCAAGAATTTTTGATATTCGTTTTTTTGCTTCTGACATTATCAAACAAGAACAGTTGCGAACAGCAACTTTTGATGAGTCTTTTAGGAGTCTTAATATTAAAAATTTTATGTTATCAAAGACACCTTTACAAAAAAAGACAGAAAGTCAGAAAAATATTCAAGATATTGAAAAGTATTAAATTCTGTCACAATTTGTAAAAGGCCATTATTATTATTATTAAAAATACAGCACTATATACTGCAATATATAGTATTGTAATGCCATTTTATGTATCGTTTCAAACTTTTCGAATTGAAATTTTTCCTTTTGTTCGATCTATGCACATCTTTTATGCACATAATTTATATAGTTTTTATTATATATTTCTATGAGGCACTGGTAATACTTGCATAACATTTTTAGAATATTTCTTTTTCTTTTTTCCTAAACTAATCTGATTTGCATATATAATCTGCATCACAATGTTCAAAATGTTTTTTTTTTAATCTTTCTTGATATGATTTTTTAATTAAATTAATTCTTAAAATATAAATGGTTTGCTATACATTCACATGAATTATATCATAACATTTTCAAGCATAAAATTTTCAGAAAGTATAAAAAAATTTAGCTTTCTGAACTTTTACAGCGGCTCAATTACTTAAGGCTCCTGGATACTCACTACGGCTGTCTTTTTTTAATAACGTCCAAAAACGAGGAGGATCGTGCCAATTTATGTGACGATGTATGTGGAAATAAAAGAATGTACGCACAAAATAATACCCGTGATCGATTTAGCACACTTGTTAAAATGTCCTTTAACCTGAAAAATTAATAAATAGCCATAAATTAGTAAATTATTGTTATTCAAATTTTCGAACATTTCAGTTCGGCCTGAGATTGCAAGTATTATTTTGGAAATATACTGCTATTATATTATTATTACTTATTCCTATATTATTTTATACGAATCATAATTATTGCAACATTGGTAAATTAATGTAACATATAACTTGAATATATGTTCACAAAAATACTTACGTTTTTGACCTATCTTTTCTCATGATTTCTGTTACGTTAATTTTCTGGCTATATATTAAGGTTAAAAGAATAGATCCGGACATTTTTACGTTAACACATTGCGGACCGCTAAGAAATCTGTAAGACATACACCTGGGACTGCACGTTTTTGGGCAAACTTGCACGTTACTAAAATCGTCATAACATTTTTATTGATGAAGCAATGTTTGTCAAACTTTCAAAAATTGTAAAATAGAATGCATTTTAGGTATTATTGAAAAAATTATGTTTTTTAATAATTATCTAACTTTTTTACTTGAAAATAAATTTTTACGAATTTTTTAAAAATTGTAAAATAGGATGCATTTCAGGTATTATTAAAAAAATTGTTTCTTAATAATTATCATAACATTTTTATTTAAAAATCAATTTTAAACCAAAGTTCCTGGTACTTTTTTGACACATTGTTGATTGGCAATTTGACTTAGAATTTATCTTATGTCATCGGCTATTATTTCGTAATTGGATGTGGAAGTGAAACAATATAAATAAACTTCAATAAATTTTATTTAATATTTAACTTTTAATATTTCTTTTTGGTATGATAAATGGTGTAGCAATCATCTACGTGTAATGGTACACAACAGGTTTTGCAAATGTATCTTGTTTCGATCGCGCAAATGTATCTTGCATCGATCACGAGTTTACTCGTGGCCGGTCAGAAAACGTTTGAGCAGGAAGACACGAGTTAACTCGTGACCGGTCAACAATGTGTTAAGTGTGCTGAATCGATCACGAATGTTATTTTGTACATATATTTCTCTTTATTTCTAAATGTACCGTCGCATAAATTGGCATGATTTTCCTCGCTCCAGCCAAAGTGAATATCCAAATCTTCAACAGTTTAACGTTAGTTAATATGAATGAATATGAGTGCGTTAATGTTAATGCGAATAAATATGTTCACAAAAATATTTTGATGCGTTTTGATTAATTTTTGTCACTCTTCGGTCGTGTCTAATATATACATATTGTAATGTATANTATATATATATATATATATATATAGTTATGGTTTAGAGAAAGTATTATACCTAAATAGGGAAATCTCTAAATCGTGATAAATTGTTATTCGAATTTTCAAACATTCCAGTTTGGCCTGAGATTGCAAGTATTATTTTGGAAATATACTGCTATATTATTATTACTTATTTCTATATTATTTTATACGAATCATTTTAATAATTTGATGTACTTGCAGTTATGAGAAAAAAACGACACAATGAAATACAATGTGTCAAACATATTCCTCCAAGTATTGGTATTGCCTACATGATTCTTTAAGCAGTCATTTTAATATTATGACAAATATTTGTTACTTAGGTATTTATAAAACGAATTCTTTCGATCAAGTGCCTTCATAATAAGCCTTGCCGCGACAATTAACCTGTCATTATAAAGCAGTAATATTATTTGTCAGTATATATGGCCATGAGAAGTGCAGCACGGCTGTTTTGATGTTATAGGAAGATAACTGATTTAATATCATTAATATTAATGTGAGAGGATAGAGAGTGTTCATGGTATATGCAAAACGTTTTATTCTAGGGAGCCTTGATACTGATTTAGTTAATAATATTTGGCAGAAAAATATGCTTAATTCGTGCTCGTACATATATCCATTCGAGTTTATAAATACTGATCGTTGCGATGAACTATTATTGTTAAGGTCGATGGTCAAATCGACGCTATCCTGCTCGGCAAATAGGAAGATTTGGGTTCTGAACAAGACTTATATTTCTCGTAGCATAAAAGCGTTTAGAGTAATTATTTACTTCAAGTTATAATTGGAAAAGAGTTTTCTCGCGTACTAAGATCTTCAACGAATATTATTAAGATTTAAAGATTTTAACGAATATTATTGAAATTCGAGAGTCGGTTCATACGTAGAAAGGCAGTCGTTTCATTCCGAGAAAATTCGGTGCATCTCGCATATATTATGGATATTTCACCCTCCCACGTTAATAATATTAAATTATTAATATCTAATGTCATTAAAGCGGCCATGTTGTACTCCTCGTGGCCATATATACTGATGAATTTTATTTTAAGGAGCCTTAATATCGATTTAATGTTATTTGTTTTGTATTCGTTCGCATAAAGTATATTTCCCCCTCTTTCTATTATCTCTTTGCTAAATTTATAATGAATCATAGTTAAGGTAGTTAGTCCACAAAATTATTTTTTTTTAATTTGTTTAAATTTTATATATTCTCTCCTAGACGTTAAATATCTTAGTTTTAATTTATTTCTCTATTTCTAATTTTTTCTGAATTAAATTTAGAATTTTAATAAAAAACCTTATATATAATAATTAAAACTAATTGTATATGTATTTTTATTTTTATTTCACTTCAAATTAACATTTATTATTCAGGTTGTTAAATAAATTTATAGAAAAGTAATTTTTTTGTTCAACAAACAGTAGGTTTATGAGGGCCCTCTTAATATTACTACTGAAAATTCGTCATTATTTTGCACAAATTCCGGAATGGACGAACTACTTTAAAATAACTACCTAACATGTTTAATTTTACTCTTTCAAATAACATTGTGTCATTATGTATGCAACAACTTTACATTTTTATACTACTTTATATTTGTTTCCCCGAAAAATATAAATACAAATATTAATAATTGATCAAGAAACTTTAAAAGCTGGAAGATATATTCAACTGTTGTGAAAATTTATAATAACTTGGCAAAATTACTACAAGAGACATCCGAAAAGTAATGCAATAAGTAATTTCTTTCATTTTATCATAAAGATAAAAATTTCATATCGTTCACACACATCATCGTCACTTATAATTCACTATCGTCTAATTAAAACGTTTGAATAGGATACACGATCATGTAATGTTTAAGAACTGCAACGTGTGAAGTATTATTATGGTTCAATAAAAGTGAGTTGAGTTACAGTAACCGCGTTGCATTGCTTTTAAGATGCGCTTTGTATAGTACGTATATTAGGAGAAACGATATTAATGTTTATGAACTGTCAAATTTAATAAGATATAAGAATTGTAATAAAAATTAATTGTTATCGATCTTCCCGCGTTACACATAAATATACATACAATGTTATATAGTAGTACGAGTAAATATTGCAGAAGTGATATAGTTTATTTGTAACAATTTCTCACTTGACGTCCAAGTTATAGATATCCTATATTATTTTGTAATTCAGGCTGCCACAGTTGATAAAATCATATCTGTAATAAAAAATGTGATATTTTATTACACGTGCTATGGCTCTATCAACAATTATGCCACTTCATAATGTTTACTTATAAAAATCAATCATGTAAATGGACACTTAAGTGATAGGAGTGAAGAATAATAGAGATCTATGCAGTAAAAGACATACTAAACATACTAAACAAATTAATGAAAATATTTTTAAAAGAGTAATTTACATTGGATCGAATTAAGTGAAGTTTTTCATTGCGTAATATTATGTTGACGAATTAATTATGTATAACTAACTGCTGCACATAATTAGACTATTATTTAAACCAATACTATCTAAACAGGGTTACAATACATCACTTAAGGTAATCCGAATGAATGTGAATGTGAAATATATTTTATGTATATCTTCTCGTGAAAAAGTATTTACAGAAATATGTAATTTTCACAAGGAATCTATTATTTTCCGGAAGAAAACATTAGTATATGTAAAGTTTAAAACTGTATGCGAAATGACTCATACGGATGAG